TTTTTTTTTTTTTTTTTTTTTTTTTTTTTTTTTTTTTTAATTGGTTGTTATTGTATCTCTTGTAGTCTTCTGTAAGTCCCTGCATGTCTCATCTGCATGTCACACAGGACTTCAGGAGCTGTCAGCTCTTTTGCCTTACAGTCCCTCCATCCCCCTGGGTCTGTCCTTTTCAAGTCTTGGAGCTGAGAAGCAGCAGACTTAGTCACTGCTTGGGTCAGAAACTGCTACTGAAAAGCTGCCCAGAGCACAAAACCCAGTGCTTTCTTCATCTGTGCTGCTGTCAAAACTCAACAAAGGTTCCAAATCTTTGCCTGTGAAGCAGAAGTCTTTATTTGATACTGCACCCATCAGTATCCCAGTATGAGGATAAATCCTCCACCCTCGCGACTACTTTGAAGTTCTGATCAATTACTAAAAATACAGTTTCATCTGCCCTTGTGTTTCCCTTTTCCCACAACTCTGGCAGAAGCATTAGTCACCAAGTCCCAGCACAACTCCAACTTTTCTCTCATTTGGCAGATGCATCCATGCCGCTGTCCTGCATCCAGGAGCAGCAAGAAGGCAATTCATGTACTCAGAGCCATGTTTCCTTGTTTTTTAGGGAAAAGGTGGTCCTTCCCCCTTCTTTGAGGTGAAGAGTGTTCCTTTTTTTATGCACGTGCACTATGTGTATGATCATAAACGAGCACTGACACTCTCTGAAGAATTTGATAGAAAGAGGTACAGGTTTTAGTCTTGTCCAATCCATGTGTTGTGCTGGAATGCACGCTTTGCAGTTGGATGCTGAGAATTTCTACCAAAAAGAACAGAATACGTTTAGATCTGTCTTGAGAGCTCTTCAGTTGATCTGCTGGAATGGACACTTGCCTTCAGGTTTGATCATGGCAATGATTGTACCCAGCTTTGCTGGTAGAAGGCTATTTTATGTTATGTTAGTGATCCTATGAGTATGTGAATGTTTCTGTGTGGCACCAGAGAACCACTGAGGGCTGTAAAGGTGTAGACTTTTCACTCCAGCTGAGTGCTAACTTGGAAATTAATATTGCAAAACCAGAGCCAAACTTAAACCCTGAATGGTTGATCTGGTGTGAGAAGGGTGTATACGTGCAAGCTTGATTTTACTGATAATGTGATTTAGGAAGGTGACATCCTTTCTAAAGGTTGTAGAGGTTGACCTGTTGTAGAGTTCATCTAAGGCAAAGTTCTCTATTGCATAAATCACTGTTTCAGTAGGCAGCAGGAGAGCTACATGTTGCAAAGATTACAGCTACAGCCAGACCAAGTCAGTCACTGTTGCAAACTTGTGTCACAATGTTAGATTTCTCAGTTTAAAAACAAGAAAGATCTGTCTGTCATCAAGATGTCCACATGGTGGCACACTTATTCCATGGACAAAAAAAACAACACCTCCTGCCCTAATCTATTGACTATGATCTTTAACGTTTGTGGTAAAAAAGAGCCACCAGTATTTGAAGACCTGACCTACAGATGTGTAAGTACTGAGTACCCCTTGCTGTGCTGTTATGTCTCCTCTTTTGAGGATCAGTGACTTTCTGAATGATACATTTTTTTCATCTGATTCTTCTCTGTGACCTTGTATGAAGAAGATGCTTTTACATTCGTGTCTAACCTTTTACATTTTGTGAAGTACTATGTACATTTAATTTTGTTGTTCCCTGTGCTAGAAACACCATGGTGCTCTCCCATTAAGGTGAAACATGGTTATGCAAACTGCAGGACACCTCAAGGGGAATATTACAAGAATGTACTGGGGACAAGATGTGATATTCGTTGTCAGAAAGGCTATGAACTGCATGGCCCTCAGCAGCTCATCTGTCAGTCAAGCAAACGCTGGTCTGGGAAAGTGCTGTGCAAACGTAAGTAGTGCCAATGCAGCAGACACTGAGCTCTGCTCATCTTTGTATTCAGTGTAGCTGAAACCTGTGAGTCCTAAATACTAACAAGATGAAACAGTCATCTTTGGTGGTTATTTTATTTTAGTCATAGGCAGTGTAGACAGGCTTGTCATCTAAAAGTCTTGCAGTGGTACGTGGTGTGATAAGTATCACAAGTGAAGTGGAAAGCAAAGAGGACAACATATTACAAGTGTAAGATTTTTATTTGTGGGAAGAATTTTATGAAAAGAGCCTTAAAGCTTTAAAAAATTGTCCATTGTGGATTTTGAAAGCTGATGCAGTTTTTATCAGGTGCCTAAGTGGGCTCTTGCAGTAAAATATCTTGCAGTAAAATATAAGACATGTACGTGCTATCTCTCTCTCATATAAATACTGCATTGGGCTAATGTGCATGTAAAATTAAATTTGAAAGATGATAAATAAATAAGAAAAGTGCAAAATCCTCATGTGGGGATTTGCTTTGTAGCTGCAACTTTATTTCTCTGCAACACCTCAGTGACTATTCTATCCTATTCTAAGGGAGTATTAACAGGTTTTCAGAACTCTCTCTTCTCCGTTTCAGAGAAGCGCTGCCCCACGCTCTCCATGCCAACCAATGGGGGATTCAAGTGCTTGGATGGTGCCTACTTTGGCTCCAGGTGCGAGTACTACTGCTCACCAGGGTACCAGCTGAAAGGTGACCGCATAGTGACATGCATGGACAGCAAAGCTTGGAGCGGCCGGCCAGCTTCCTGCGTGGGTAAGTAGAATCACAGAATGTTTTGGGTTGGAAGGGACCTCACAGCCCACGCTGCCCCAACCCCAGCCGTGGGCAGGGCTGCCCCCCACCAGCTCAGGCTGCCCAGGGTCCCATCCAACCTGGCCTTGAGCCTCCAGGGATGGGGCACCACAGCTTCTCTGGGCAGCTGTGCCAGTGCTTCAAAGTAGTATGCTTTGTCTGCATTGTGATAGTTCCCTACACAGGTTGGACACTGACCCCTTTTTTCTGATGCCTCATCTTGCATTTGTTTCTTGGTATCGTGGTTTTCTGGCTATACCCAGAGAATATGGATGGACTGTAGTCACCATGATGGTGACTATAGCAAGCTAGTCTTAATGTAGTTCACATGAGTTTTACCAGCAATTTCCATTATTTAGTCACCAGTATCCTGGGAATCTCAGCTGGTAGAATTGGTTTTATATCCGTAAATCAATCAGGATAGAAACAAATATCGAGTTAACTTCTTCCAACTGACAAGATCTGGCAGATAGGCAGTGAAGTCTATGCTGCTGCTTTTTCTGGGAAGGTTCAGCAGCTGCCCACAAAGAAAAGCTGTTTAGCTATCTGACTTGGCTACCAGTAATCTGAGCTTGTGGGTGGCAGGATATTTGTGCTCAGTGTTTTTTTGTGTATGGTGTCTTGGTTTTCCTCAAAGTTCCTGTTGCTTACTCTAGGTTAGTAAATAGGCTTGGAGTCTCTCCATTCTGGCTTTATATTTGGAGATTTTTTTTAGTTTTCCTGTTACTTGTTGTACAAATGTATGAATAATTCTGCTTCTTAGGTCCAGCCTGTTTGTGGTGTCGTTTTTGTTTACAAAAATGAGCCATGTCCTTCTTTGTGGTGTGGGTGGAGGAAGAAGAATCCTTTTAAGTTTGGGAATCATTAAATGCTTTCTGTATGTCCTGGCTCTTTCAGAGCCTCATCTGTTTTTGGTATCAGCATGCTTATTGCTGAAGATGCTGACCGGTGTTGTAGAAAATTTTTTGCCTGAGTTTAGCTTAGGCAAAAATAGGAAAATCTTAGGGTTGCACGTCCACTTCTTTTTTAGTCCAACAATGCAGGTCGGTTATTGCATAGGATATGAATGCAAATCCAAAGTAACCAAGTAACAGCATTATTTAAGTTTTGGTAATACCACATAGTATGGGGAAGACCCTTTCAAACCTTGTGTGCACACTGTTTTTGCACATACACAGTGAGTTAAGTGGCTAGCAAGCTGCTTCATAAAATTCTTGACAGGTAAGATAGGAATTGTTTGTGACCAGGCATGACCTTAATAGCATAATGCAGTCTGATTAACACACCTACCTTAGCGCGGTTCAGTAGTATGGAAAAACTGTTAGTGAATTGGGCAGAAGAGAACCAGCTGAACAGATGCTCTTCCTGATTTGAAAGGACCTTGTGGGTCCTTTCAAACGCAGGATACTCTACAATTCTGTGATTCATAAGGGATGCTACCATCCCATGCCTGTGATTACGTGTGAAGTTCGTATCGCTGGGCAGCAAAGAGGTCTGTGGACACTGTAGATATTGGCATCAAGTGTGGCAGAATTACCACAGAGCTGAATTTATAACTGTTGAAAACACAGGGGGCTTTCCTCTGAGCTTTAATGCTGTAATTGCACTGCTAAGTTATTTTGCACAAAAATACTTGGAGTTCACAGCAATATAGAAGGTCAATGTAAGATCAAACAACTATTGTTGCCTGTGGTACCTTTTCCATTAAAAGGAGGAAGAAGAGACTGTTTTTCTTCAAGAAAATTAGGTGTGTTTTAGCAGTTGCTTATGGGAGCCCTTATAGACAGTGGATATTAACTTCTAACAAAGCAGCGTGTCCCCTCTCCCTCCTATAAGAGGAATGATATTCTTCATGATGCTGAACTGAAGGAGAAAGTCCGAAGTATAGCTGATTCAGCTATCAGTTAACTAAAAATGCCAATGAATAATTTTTGAATAATTTTTCCATTGTGTCTTTAATTCACTGTAACACAGACTGAAATAGGGATTTTCCTCTCAAAGAGTGAAAAATATCACTTTTTTTTTTTTTTTTTTTTTTTTTTTTTCCTTCAATGAAGGTTTCATTTCCTGCTGCTGTTATAGCAGAGGTTGTGGTAAATGGCTGTCACCATGCTAAGTCATTCTTTTCACATCCTAGGAAGATTGTACTGATAGGTGATTAACAGCTTTCAACTACTGATGTCTGAAACAAGCTTTGCACTCTGAGTCATTAATTATACAGGCAGTGATAATGGATGCTTTGAAATACAGAACAGTGCCTTGTGGAGGGCAGAATGGTGTTTTTCATTTACCCTTTCATGATTTCCAGTCTTTTCCTCTCTTTATGTTTTTGACACACAATAATGTTTTTGAGCTAGCTTCCAGCCATCAAGCACTAATAAGAGGGTTTGTATGCAACAGCAGACTCACTGGCCATTTAATACCATCCCTTCTCTTTCTGTCCCGCTAAGTCCCTGCTCACAAGCAAATAGCAGACTATGAGAAATGCAGTCAATGAGATCTTGTCATTTCATTGTTGATGTTGCTAATACAGCCATTCGTACATAGAAGAAATGTAAATGTAAAAGCTATTTTGAAAACATATTTCTGAACGAAGTTCAAAAGACAGCTTTAAAATTGAATACTCTTCTGCTAACTGACCACTTAAGTTGGTAGAGTTCAAGAAAGGTCTGGGCAACTCTGATTTTTGGGTGGTCCTGTGTGGAGGCAGGAGTTGGACTCGATGGTGCTAATGGATCCCTTCCAACATTGGATATTCTGTGATTTCTGCAACCTCTTCTGAGCATAGGGCAGCATACCAGTCATTGCTGGGAAGCCAAGAAAAGCAACAGTTGACAAGAACATAGGAAGAGTAGTGGCTGAATGGCTGCAATTTTTCTCTGTGGAAATTCAGTTTCCTTGGCTAGGATGTAAACCTTTCTGGCAGGACTCATCCATTAAGTTCACAGCCCTGACACACAGCTTAAATAAATCAGTTTGAAGTGCCATCATTCTTTCAGTAGTGACACAGCAGTAAAAGTGTTAAGAACAACCATATGAGGTCAGAGTGCCCTGCAAAGCATCCTGCCTCCAGCCCTGCCCAGGATATTTGCTACAAGACAGACCGTGACAATTCACAGCTTCCAGGGTCTCTTTTCCCCTCTGCTGAACCCTCCCTGGTGGTCAGCAGTCTTACGGCTTCCTCCAAAGGGTGCCTGATGGTTTTATTCCTGCAGTAACTGCGTTGTTTGTCTTTGTGATGTGACTTTCTGAGCTGGCTTGTGCCAGCTGGTCTGCTCTGTGCTAAATAATGGAATGAGCTTTTGCATGAATGAAGTTCTTAAATCATTGGGTCTTAAATGCCATTCTGACTTTTGTACCATCACTACTTTTATTTAATTGATACGTTCAATACCATGGTGCTGAGCTGTAGCCACAGCAAAGTCAACAGGCAGGCAAGTAGACTTGGTAAGATCTGCTTAGTTTTCACCTTTATTTGGCAGTGGATTACTGAGAGCAATGTAGTTTTGTAGAGGAGGGCAGAGCTGCCATGATGTGTCTCACAAAGCACTCAGGGTTAAAGGAATACTCTGTTCTTACCAAAAAAAAACCAAAAAACAAACAAACAAAAAACCAGAAGAAGCCAGCTTTGGAGGTTGTCAAGTTCCTGGAATACTATCAAAGCTTGAAGGGAGTACGACAGCGCTGCACTTGCCACCATTAAACTGATATACTAAAGCAACAGACAGTTGCTTTGAAGCAACAGACAGTTTTCTATGAAGGTGTGTAGAGTTATTTGATGTATTTGTTGCTTTATAAAGATCCAAACCTTTTCTCATTTCTTTTAATTGGAAGATTTTGCTTTGTGTTTGTCATGCAAATGAGAAATCAAGGCCTGCCACCTTTTAAATTTGAGCAGCGTTTTAGAGATTGTCATCCACTTGCAGGTAAAGAGCAATCCTGTCTTGTTGGTTATTTTTAAGTGTGACTTCATGTATTTAGGCTTTATTTTGGGCATAGCTCAAGAGGTGATCGAAAAACCAAAGACTAAGTAATTAGACGTGGATGTTTTAATAATTGTTATGATGTTTAGACTTGGTTTTCTGGTATAGTAGTAATAGCAAAGAAAGGCAAGCAGTTATGTGTCACCTTTATCCAGCATCACCAGCATTCTTTATCATCACCGCTGTTCTTGTACTCCTTAATAATAGTCAGTGTTCTGGTAGCACTTAATCAAGCTTTCAAAACGTGATGTGCTTTGTTATTCATTTATTACCAGTAAGGCATTATTACCTGATAAAATAATCTAGGAGTAATCCTCAACAGAAGTGACAATTTTGTCAGTTTTGTGTTATTTCTCTTTTGCCACTGCTGCAGGAAAAATAACCAACAAGCAAAGTTAACACACGTTACATGCAAAGTTAACACACAGAAGCAGATCTCTGTTCAGTGCTTAATGAATGTACTTAATCACAGTAGCCTCTGCACAGCTGCACAAGAAGAGGCAGAGCAGATGAACAGAAGGTCCAGGCTCTGTGGGTACAGTCTTAAGCATCTTTCCTTACAGTTCAAGGCTAAGTGAAGTTTTAATTCATTGCTATTCAATTAAATTTACATAAAACTAAGTTTTCATTCTTTTTGGGGGGGCAGGAAGGGTGGGGAAGGGTGTGATGGGGATGAGGGTCAGTGTCATCTATTGCTTTTGTTCCAAAAAGATGAGAAGCACAGGCTTCACTTGCCTTGGTTGGGTCTGCTCTGGTGTTGAAGAAGCCAGCTGAACGTGGCTTAAAGTTACTCTGACAGCAGGACGGTGACTGTGAAGAAAAGGAGCAGCTCTAACAGATGCAAAGGTGCCCATTTCTCTGAGGTTTGTTTCAACAGATACAGAGCCTCCGAGAATCCAGTGTCCAAGTGTGAAGGAGAAAACTGCGGAGCCCAACAAGTTGACGGCCAGAGTATTCTGGGATACCCCGGAGGGAAGGGACACCGCTGATGGCATTTTGACAGAGTAGGTAGAAATCCATAGATGTCTGTGGGAAATATCCCATACAGACTTGTTGGATGAGCGACTACAGTCTTGGCTGGGGATTACTCATGGAAGAAAAGAAATAGGATGAGCTGTTTCAGTTTTTTCTTGTATAAAGAAATGGAAACTTCAGTTTTTTGGGGCATTATGTTATGCTCAGCTACACTATGAACTGTCTTATAAGTAGCAAGCAGGTCCTGACTGCTCTGCTCCCATTTTGTCAATGGAATGGGATCTTTTCGTTAAAGAGTGGGGCTGGTGGCAGCATGTATGACTGACCTGGTCCCTTCTTCCTGTGCCTGTGCTTACTCTCATTTTTCAGCCATGTAGAATGGCCAGACAAGCTCAGCATGCTCCGGACTTCACTCTTCAGGCTTTTACAGTGTTGGAAGTAGGAAAATACCAGTGAATTTATGGATGCCTGTCCCATTTTATTTCCTGTTTTAGTGTTATTTTGAAAGGCCTGCCACCAGGGTCACATTTTCCAGAAGGCGACCACAAAATCCAGTATACTGTGTATGACAGAGCTGAAAATAAGGGCACTTGCAAATTCCTTGTTAAAGTCAGAGGTAAGAATGATCTTTTATACTACAAATACAGTTACTGATATGCACCTGGCCTAGTAGTCAGCTTTAGAAATGTCCCTATCTCTGCAATTGTCTGTGCCTATGCACACAAACATGTATTTAAAATTTATATTGACTATGCAACTTAGTGTACCATCTTGCTTGAGTCCCTGATGGCCAGACCCACAGCAGGGTGTGCACCTGGCATGCTGCAAGTCAAGAAGAGGCTCTAGTGATCCACCCTCCTCCATACTGTTGAAAATGTCAACTGCTGAATCAAGTAGCTGAAGGAGTTTTTCAGCTGTGCCTCCCATCTGTCAAGAAGAGTTACCTTTTCACAAGTCCAGGTCTTGAAATCTGCAATTGAATCTGTGAACATGATGAGATCTCTTTGTGCCCCTATGGCCATTTGTTACCATTTACCACTGTGACATACACACACCTCGATATCTGCATCCTTTCAGTTTACGTATGATACTAAGAAGAGCTTTTATTTGGTCAGTCTTATTACATACTTGACTTTCATAATAGAGACAGCAAAAATAAAAAATACCTTCCATATTGGTATTCTGTTAGTTGTGATTTGTGCCCTGCCATTTTTTTTTCCCCTCCATATCTTGTCTTTCTTAAAGTCAGGCGCTGTGTGAAGTTAAATGCTCCAGATAATGGCTACATCAAGTGTTCAGGTGATGGAAATAACTATGGTGCTATGTGTGAATTTTCCTGCATTGGAGGCTATGAGCTACAAGGCAGCCCAGCTAGAGTGTGCCAGTACAATTTGGGGTGGTCAGGTGTGGAGCCAACCTGTGCACGTAAGTGAGTATTTTGCTACTTTACTGAAAGGGCTGTGATGGTTCTCACAGAAGTGAGAATTGGAGAAGAGGGTTGGGATCAAACACAACTACAAACTTTAATGCCACTCAGATAAAAAAAACATCTTAATGTTTCTTGCCAATTCACCCTTAGATCTGAAGCATGTGCCACTTTTGGCTGTTCTGTTCCTGGAATAATGATGGTGCCTTACAACTGATAGTGTGTTTCAGCCTAGGTCTTTATAGAGAACTTCACCTACTGCAGTCAAACCATTTTGTAAGCCAGATTACAGCTTCAGATAAAATAGTTGGCTTCAACGAGGCCATTTCAGCCGTTTCTTCTTTATTATTCTCTTGTTCCTGTGTTTCTGGTATCTGACACTTGTTCATCCTTTTAGAAATAGTTCTGGTTTTAGTATTCTCTGTAACTTCTCTTTTAAATTTCATTCTAGCCATGAATATTAATGTGAATGTGAGGACTGCAGCTGCACTTCTGGATCAATTTTATGAGAAGCGGAGACTGCTAATTATTTCAACTCCTACTGCAGCCAACTTCTTCTACAGGATGCAGTTGGGAATGCTGCAGGTAAAATACAGTCCAGGGTGGGTTGCAGGGGGTTGTAGCTATTTTTTTTCTTTAGACACATGATAGGATAAGCTCTGCTGTTGATATAAACCAGCAAACATCAGCTACTATGTTTTGAACAGTAGAGGATTTTGCAGAAGTGGTAGTGGTTCTGGATTAATCCTTTTTACGTGTGCCTGAGCTCCCTGTTTTCCACTTCAACTCTATTCTGGATTGTACTGCCACTGACTGATTAGTTACTCAATCCAGGCAGTTCTGGCCCTTTTCCGTCCTCTCAACATTAATTAATGTGAAACCTGTAATCTAATAGTCATTCCCTCATTCACTTCATAAAGGAGTTAAGAAGAAACATCCAGCGCTTCAGTGGTTACAGTTCATGCAAACCAGGCTGATGGGGTCTGTAACTGCAGTGTGAAGAAAAGTGCCAGGCTCTAGGAATAACTTGTGTACTGCAGACAGGGGACCAGAGGCTCAGCATAAATAAAAATCACCCAGAATGCTGAAGATACCACTGTGGTATTTTGTAACCAAAAAAGAAAAAAAGACTGGCGCTTGTTTTTCTTATATAAATATTTCTATAATATTTCTACTTGGGTTACTGCTAGATTAAATACACCTCAGCTCAGAAATGTATGTGTGTCCGCAGGGAGAGCAGCCAGTTCTGTATTCTTTCACAGTGGCAAATGCTTTGTTTCTGTTCCCACAAAAGTCAGAATGAACAGTCATTTCAATATGAGTGTGATAACATTTCTAACTGCAGGCTTAAAGAAGTAAGTTGTGTTAAAAACAAAATGAGAAGGTTTTGTGGTTTTTTTTTTCTTTCCCCACAGAAGATTATCTGGGCAAGAAAATATTTTGATTGAAATGATGTAGTTTAAAGTACTAATTTTACTGGCAATATTACTCTTCCATTGCTTGGAAAAACAAGTTGACATACTTAGTCGAGTTTTCTTCCATTTCATATACTTTGCTTCACTTACCCCATTAGATTACTGGCACAATACTTAACAAATTGGCATCTTTTAATGTCATTCAACACAAGTTTACATTTCTCCTAGGTGCTCTCTGTGTCGTGGTTGTGTTAGAATCCTTCATCTAATAGCCCCTGGACTCATTTCAGCTTAAACCATCTCACTAACTTGAGCAGTTCAGATTCTGTGTGAACACTCACAGCACATGCCAAACAGCCAACTGCATTCCCTCTGATGGCTAACCTACCTCTTTCCTTCTTTCAACTCTTCCAGCCAGCACAGTGTGGCTTAGACCTCCGCCATGTTACTGTGGTTGAGTTGGTTGGTATCTTCCCAGCACAGATAGGAAGAATAGGTGTAAAGCTGCTGCCCCCTTCACTTGCACTGCAACTCAGGTAAAGTAAGGTTTGTCTGCTGTTATGTGTGCTATAGCATATACAATATATTGTTTTTGAATTCCTGCATTTTATTATCTAAATAGGCATCTTTACCGTACTGAGCTAGGATCATAAGTAGATGTTCATGAGTAAGTTTCAGTACTTACTCTCTTTTAACTTGTAAGAGTTAAAACAAATTGCTGGGCATTTGGGATTTATGAAATTAAGGGTGTGATTCATATTTAAATGTGCTATGGATCAGCTGGCTCAAGTGCTGTGTCTTCCTTGCCTCTTTGTTCCATGAATGATGCTAATTCAGGTGAGGTCTCTGTGTATCCCTTTATGTATCCCTTTATCATAGAATCACAGAATGGTTTGGTCTGGAAAGGACCTCAAAGCCCACCTATTCCAACCCCTGCTGGGGGCAGGGCTGCCCAGCACCAGCTTAGGCTGCCCAGGGTCCCATCCAACCTGGTATTGAGCACCTCCAGGGATGGAGGGATGTTATGCCTTTATGTTTTTGGGTACTGTCACTGGAAAACACTGATTACAAACACATTTGTATTGTGCTGGAATTGGGCTGATGCAGTTCCAGCCACCTGCAGTCGCTTGGCAAGGACAGCCCCAGGCAGGATCACCAGCCCCTCATCTCTGCAGTACTGCTGGAGGCTGTGGTCAGGCCAGAAGGTAAACAGTGGGTGCTCTTTGAAGTCCCATGTACAGTCCCTTGTGATATGTACAGGATTTCAAAGGACAAATGATCTTAGCCTCCTCAGCCTGACAGACATTCATCAATTTTACTGAGGTGTCTGAACTGTTTTGACTTGGTTTTGAACTGGCAGGGAGTTGGTTCTCACTTGAAAGGGAGATTTCAAGTGTCAGCACTGCCTAGGGATGGGAAGACTCCAAGAGCTAAAAGTGAAGGCCTATTTGGCAGGGTAAGTGCTAGTAATTTAAGGAAAGAAGTCCAGGAGCATTTTAGGCAGCATTTTCTGTGCTATACCTGAGAAAATGGTGTGAGTTCTAACTGGGTACAAGAAAAAATGTTCTTTTTTCAGTCTTCTGACAAGTCTGAAAGGTTTTTTGAATTGGGAAGAAAAAAAACAAAAAAAAAAGTATTTCTTCCCCATAAAAGAAAGAGCCAGCTTCTTTTTCCTTAAAACAAAAAACAAACCAAAAAACATCACACCTTATATAATAGTTAGATTGAAGTTGAAGATATTTTCTTGTGGCTCTGTACAAAATAAGCTCTGGTAACACTCCTGTTCCTGCCCCATTGTGCTGCCCACCTCAACCTTCAATTTCAGAAACTGACACAATTTACAACCTGATCTCCACTCGGTGGAATTTAGTGTTCAATTTGATTTTTGTTCTAGACTCTGATGCTACCAGAGCATGAATCTTATGCATTCCAGTCCAAGGAAGCACTTAATCCAAATGAAACACACCCTTAAGAATCTTGAATACAGATGCTGTCCAGCATTAGCACTCAGTAAAATAACCAGTCATAACTACCCCCAAACTCAGAAGGATTAGCATTTGCAGAGGGTAAGCGCTTTCCTTAAGAAACCACAGTCCTTATCTCCCTTATCACCACAACTTAGCTTCAAAAATGATTTTAGGTTCAGAGCAATAGCCAAGCTCTGTAACTGCAGCAACACCTAGAGTAAGGAGTGGCACAAGATTATAGGGTAGTGAAAGGCACAAAAGGTCAGGTTCTATATTTCACAACCTTACTGCCATCCAGTGCCCTACAGACCCTCCTTGTCCTGACCTCATTCCTTCACAGATGCCTTTGTCCACAGCAGTGGCATTGACTGTCTGCATGACTGAAGAGCTTAAATGACTCCTTTTTACCACTGTGAAGGAAAGGGATCTGGCCTGATTAGTGCTGGCTTTAGATTTCCTAAATTGGAGCTACCAGCAGGTAAATTAGTTACTAGCAGAAAGCAACAAAAACTGACTTAAGTCATTTTGTTCTGCTTTTTCTCATCATGGTTTTGTACTGCATGGCAGCAAAGAAACAGAATTGTCTACCTGTAACTCTTAAGCTCCATCACCATCATAGAATCACACCATAGAATTATAGAATGGTTTGGGTTGTTTGGTTGTTTTTTTTTTTAAAGTCAATATCTGTATACTAATATTGAAAATACTCTTCTGTCTTGTTTCCTGTTGCTCTTGGGATAGGCTGTTGCTGAGGATCCCTCATTATAATTTCAACATTGTGGTGATGGACAAGCATGGAATGGACAAGGAACGCTACCCATTCCCAGCAACACCAGCTGAGCTCTTTGCACTTATTGACAATTTTCCCTTGAGAAAAGAAGAGATGAAACTGCAAGCAGAAATCGGCCAGTCATGTCCTTAATTCAGAATTACAGGGCTAGCATTTTGTCAGTGAATTTTTTACCCAGATAATTCTTCCCTCGGTGCTACAGAAAGCATGGCTTTTTAATCACTGATGTACAGAGTTGTTGTGTGTATCATTATGTCTGTGTCGCTGCTCTGCATGGGCGTATGCATGATGCTTTTTTGTACTTTCAAAGAGTATCTTTAGAGAAATGTGTACGTAGGATTACTACCCAATAGAACTTCTTGTACAGACATCAAAGAATTGAGGTACGTCTCCTGGGGTTTATTTTGGATTTTTCATTCAGTGTAAAATTCTTTCTTCCGTTTTATAAGTCTTTTATTAATAAAATATTGTTTTGCAAAGAAGTAGTGCTCTAGAAGTCCTCTTAGCTATAATGTTTAGTGATTAACGTAGAAGTTGGATCAACAATTTAAATCAGAGGTCAATGTCTGTGCTATGAGTGCACAGCAACCCAGCAGTGTCTTTCAGTAGAAAGCTGCAAAAGACCTCTAGAACCATCTATCCAGTCTAACCATCACTAACCATATCCCTCAGTGCCACATCCACACGGCTCTTGAGCACCTCCAGGGATGGTGACTCCACCACCTCCTTGGGCAGCCTGTGCCACTGTCCCTCTGCTCCTCCTGAGAAGAAGTTCTCACTAATAACCAACCAGAACTTCTCCTGGCACAACTTGAGGCCATTCCCTCTCATCCTATCGCCGTCACCTAGGAGAAGAGGCCAACACTCACCTCACCACATCCTCCTTTCAGGTAAGACTTGTGTATTATGTCAGATCCATTATAATAAGGTCCATCACAGACACAAAGCATAAGCCAAAGGCAACACAAGTAACTGCTTCCAGCAGAACCAGAAGAAAACAGCTCATGGCAAGTGTACAGGAGTCATACCCAGGAGGAATTTGATAACAGAACAGTGAGCAACATAGAAAATGGGTGATAATTACTAAAGGCCATATGCTCGATAGAAAGACATGCTCTTACCTCGTGTTTCATGTCCAGTGAGTTGGAGTAATAGATTCCTTTCCCTTTTCATTCAACAGCTCAAGCTGCTGGTCTGATGGCAGTGGAACATTCCCCATAGGGAAACTTCATTAAGGATTCATCATCTCCAGGTCTGTGAAAATAGTTCTTTGCAACTCATCATTTAACAATAACAAAAAAAAAAAAAAAAAAAAAATCACTGCTTAATGAAAAGTGTTAGGAGGCAATAAAAAAAAAAGATAAAGTTCTCCGGTGTTTGTTTTGAAATCCACAATCTTGCACATCCTCTGCAAAGAATCTATACTGTGCATGAAGAATACAAATCCAAAAGGAGTGAAAAGTGTTGAAAAGTATGAGTTACAGCTTCGGACATTTGCTTAAAGTGTCAGGTGGGTAATCCCTCACGACTGAACAGCATTTCAGTGCCTGTGCTGCTCATTCAAAGCATGGCCCTTTTTGTTTCAGATAAATGCTTGTTTAACTGTAAAGAGAAGTGTTCATTTTGACAGTTGCTAGCAAAAACTAACAGAATAATGAAGTGCAGGAGCACTGAAGTGCGTGGAGAAGATGGGCAGCTTCTGAGATGGTGAGGAGCCTTACCAAAAACCCAAGAGCAGGCATGAAAGCATAGCATAGCCAAGGTAAAGACCGACCTCAGAGCTGATGCCGAAGGCAGAGAAGATTCAGATGCACTCTGCAGGGGGTACTGCCCAGTTTGTGAGGATGGGCACTTGGAGGAGCAGGAAGCCTTCCTTTGAATGAGCTGTCCAAGTGTTTCCAAGATGCAAGGGTAACAAAATCACAGAAATAAACAGTATTTCTGTTCCAAACCTACCCAGACCAAAAACTCATCCTTGATCAACTATAAAAGGAGCAAGGTGGCTATGAACCAACATGCTTATGGATACAGCTGTTTCTTTTCTTGTTTGAAGAACACTGATGGTTAAAGAAATGAAGATGCAGCATGCCAAATCACTTCATGCCTTAAGTGGCACCTGCAGAACAGCCAGCACGAGGACAGATCTATGTACATTGCTATGGCCATTGGTGCTTCAGCACATGCATGTGCATAACACGAATGCACAGGTGGACAGGTCATTTCACCAGCCCTTTTACTCAGTCAAAAAGCACATCAGTGTTTTCCAATGATTTTTTTCAAACAAATAATAGATAAATACAAGGGTCTACTGAGTCTGATTGTTCTATTTCTGCAGTTCCAATCTGTTGCTGCTCCATTTTAGGTGCAGAATTGGTGCATGCAGCCATCTTTCACATCTGGGTGAATAAGAGTGGGGCTTGATGATTGCTGCAGCCAGAAAAGTGATTGCAATCACCAGTCCTCTAAAGGAAATTGAATTAAGTGGATGGAAGTGCATGAGTGATTGGATTACCAGTTATAGTTCTACACAGAGCATCTGCTAAAGTCCTATGATTAGCAAAAGCTGCTCTTGATTAAATACACAAGCTTTCTGGCATTTTCTGTGGAACATTTTTGTGGGGAGGAATGGGAGACTGACAAACCTCACATGCCATCTCTGACCTGGAGTCAGATCAGCGTGCAGGTATAGACCGCAGGTATGAGGCAGAAGAAGGAGAAGAATGAACGAATGAAGATTTTGTATACTGGCTTTAGCCCAGCATTTGTATGTCCAAACACATTCTAAATATTCAAATATATTCCAGGAAGCTTTGGTTCTAGAAAAAAATCATGTTGTGTAAGCAAGGTGTAGTACCTATACCATTCCACTTTTTAAAAATAAAAAATGATTAAAAAACGTTTCAGATAGAATTTACTTACCTCCCTCACAATCGTGCAGGCTGGACTCTTCCTTTGACTTCCATCGTGGCTCTTCTTAGCATAGCTGCTAATCCCACCAACCACTGCTGTCAAAATGCGAATCCTGTTAAAAGCACAAATTGGGTGGAGGGGATTAGAGGCAGCACAACCAAGGAGCACAACCTGCAGTGAATCTCCTTTCCTCTCCTGCTCCGGAACTGACAGATCAATGTGGGCACCCAGCCAGGGGCTGGAGGCATCTGCATCAGTCTGGAGATAACATTTTGGTTTTGAATGTTATTTCAACAAGCAAAAAGCTTCCATCATTTTAGAACAGAAAATAATTCACGTTTCTACCATGTGACATCTTTTGCAACAAGACTGCTGCGATTTCTCAGGAGCCCCAAACAATTCTCTGCATGGTCTGTAGGTTTCCCCCAAACCTACACAAGAATCTACGTGTTTAATGAGAACACTCCCTGCCATCACACACCTCATAATCACCTCCATCTGCAGGGGGAGAGACAAAAGTTGCATGTCCCCTTTTTTTGAAGTTCAGATCATCCCTTCTAGGAAACTCTGATGACAGCGCTCTTGACCCTGGCAGCTCCGTCCTGAATGACTGCAGTGTGGTGTTTTGTACTCAGTACTCAGTACTGAGTACTTCAGTGCTCAGTACTTACCTAAGAGCCTGAGTCAGGCTGTGTAACATAATTAATGACAACAAAGGTAACAAACCTGGGAAACTGGTACACTCAGAGGAGGTGAAGAGACCTCAGCGCTCAGTGGTTAAGTTGAAGTGTGTGTGACTCAGTTCCAAATATGAGTTGGAGAGAATAATCCAAGGGGTTTTGTGCTTTCTATCTTTAAAAATCCCGACCACCAATTACAGAGAAGTTGTGTTTTGAACATACCTGGATTTTACAGTCGGGCAGCACCTTGAGCTAGAGGTCAGGGAAGAGATCTGGAGACGGAGGGGAGGAACTGAATGCAGTGTTAAGGCACAGAAAAAATAACCCTCTAGCAGAGGAGAAAAGATCAGTGCATTTCCTAGTTTCTTAGATACAAAATTGGTGCAATGCATATGAAACAAAAATCAGCATTAAAAATATGTAAGCTGTAGAACAGAAGACAAAAACAGAGAGAAAGACTATCAGTGCAGTCCCACCTCTAGATTACTTCATTTATAGGCAGTGAATAATGAGTTTGCCTCAGAGAGATAACTGGATATCCCTAAAAGACATTTTAATAGTTCACTATAATGCATTTTAGAAGAGACAGGGACACAGACAACGTTCCATAATTTTAATTTTAAAAAACAGAACAATATTCTCGACAACTGCTGCAAATGGATTACCAGCCACTTTTCTCCACAAAACTGAATATACAGTGCACAGTACAAAAATGTTCTGGGCAGGAAATGCTTCATCTAAACTTGGGCAGAACTTAACATACTGCAGTGCCACTTACTGCTACTACTGTTAATATGCAGCAGAATAACCAAACAAACAACGTGCAATAGATTTTTAATCAGAACAAAGGTGGCAAGAGGGGCATGTAGCATTCTCAATTCACTGCATCGAAGGAATACATTTGGCCTTAAGCAAACCCCAGCAATTACAGCAACCCTCAAAAATACACAGCCAGCTTTCAAGAACAGTAGTGCAAAGCTGTAGGTAGGTTGTTGCCACAGAGTAGAATTGTTGAAATAGGGATCCTACATAAATGGCCGTGATGCAGCAAGGGTGTCTCAAAAGCAACCTAAGGAACACCTATAGAAGTATGTTGAGATTCCCTTTCCAGTGTCAATATACACAGTATAATTAACAGTCTTAATATCACTTATCAAACAGCATCTGCAAACATGAAATCACCAGGCAGGAAATTCACAGCATGTAGTGGTAAGGCTCTACAAGCATGATTCAGTGCCTCATACTGAGTTAAGGTAAGAAACATCTCTGCAAATAAAAGTCTGCATCCAATTTTGGATTTAATCACATGTTCTTACCATCATTTCTCTTAAGGTCCTCTAACGTTCTTATTTCTACACGTAAAAATAAATAAATAATACCCATCTTCAAAAACTGTATCAAAAGAAAAAAAGAGTTTACAAAGTGCACATACCATCTCTCAAGAGACAGCTATTTCTGTCATTGCTGAAAATCAATACTGTATGTTAGGAAAGGGCAATTTCAGTTTTTACCTCACCTAGCCACCGTAAGCTATTCCTTAAATACTGCACACTGCCTCCTTCTGGGTACCAGAGATTAATGTTGAGGTGGAACATGGGGTCATAGTTGGACAAACTTGACAAAAAACTTGAATAGTTTCCTGGTGGGGGCTGCTGAACTGAAGGGAAGGATGGATGAAGAGATCCTGCAATGATTCAGGTATAATCCTTACTGTCCTGTGTGAAACAACAGACTAGACAGTTATAGAAACAAGACTCAGACTTTATATTCATTGACTCTAGAGCAAATCAAAAGCTTTACGTGCCTGAAGTTGGCCAACCCCTTGTAAAGCCAGAACAATGCCAGCTCTATGCCTCTCTCATGTTACCCCATCAGTTAGCACCAGTGGATTCTCAGTGGCTGCTCCGCTGCTGCAATTTAGTTCACATTTTGCAGAATACAACTTTGTCTACTTGTACCTCACAGGGCCTAACCAGGAGGGAAAAGAAAAATCAAGCACAATACTTCAAAATGCTTATTTCCCATCTCTGGAGGTACTGAAGAGACATGAATGTGGCACAAAGGGACATGGTTTAGTGATAGGACTCAGCAGATTCAGCTAATGGTTGGACAATCTTTGAAGGTCTTTTTCAACCTCCATGATTCTATGGATTTCTTTTATGCTACTCTAGCAAAATCTCTACCGGAGGAGACAAAGAACATTAAGTTTCCAGTCTAATGCATTGTGATCAAAGCATACTCACCATCCCCATTGCCTTCTCTCTTAAACCAACTGCTGAGCATTCAGCTGGGAGAGAAATGTTAAAATGTGTTATCTAAATGGCATTTAAGGTAGGCAATGGCATTTGGATTAGAACAGAAAGATAGTAATATGACGGAGATGGAGGAGAAAGAGAGGCCATCTGAACTGGTTTTAGCATCTAAATATGCAAGCAAGATCACTGACTTTTAGAAGCCTGAAGTCCCTACGTAACTAATAAGTTGAGCAGAGAAACATCCAGAGAACAGGTCTGGATAATCAAGTCCGTTAGCAGGACTTGGACAGCCCTCAGCATCAGCTCTTCCTGATAGATACTGGCAATAACCACACTACCTAGGGATGCATTTACTGTCTTCACATGAAATTTTACAGCCCAAGTTGTACTTTTATTTTGCCTTAATGGGTCAAATTATGCCATCAGAATCAAGTATCGAGGGGGGAAAGACAGTGATGAAAACCTTGTAGTTACACCACTAGTAGAATCATGTTTCATATCTACAAAAAACACTGTAGTGAAAATCTCTTCTCCACTGAAACATCTTTAGTCATTCAAGTCTGCATGGAGAAATATTTTTAAAACATCAGCTCTCCTGTGTCTGATTAATCAAGATAGGAGTTAGCGAATCAGTGTTAAAACTGACTCTGTTTTCCTAAAAGTTGGTCTTAGATAAACCATCCATGCACCTCAATATCACATTTATACATATAGAATGCTTTAGCCTGGCTCCTGGCTTTCTCTATTTCTGCTCAGCCTAGTAAAGCTGAGGTACGTGATGACACACAGTCATAGGCTATTTGCTCCAATATCTCAGAAACAAGAAATCACATCTGCAGTTAATCATCTCGTGCTTTATCCAAACCACAAATCATTTTTTGCAAAAGAAGAGAAAGAGGATATAACAGCGATAATTAAATGTGACATTTTCCACAAATAAATGCTTTCTACAAACCTGTCGTTAACATCACAGAACAGCCAAATTGCTCCAATGTCTATACTGATGACTGTCATCTCTCTGAGGCTCGTTTGAAGCAGAGCACGATATGCCCTGTATGCTACCATTATGCACAATCCTCACTGCTAACCTAGGAGATAATTTCACTGCACTACTCCAAATCCCATCAATGGCCAACAACACTCTCTGCCTTGGCTGAATTAAATTCCCACTTGAAATTGTTCCCTTCATACACTGAACTGCAGTTGACACCTAGAGACTATTCATAGCCTGGCCTATGTTTTCAGATGCAGGCTCAGAGTAAAATTTTGTCCCTTCCAAAAGCTATAGGAGACACGTGACACTTTCCAGATGAGTCTATTTATCTCATTCTCTAACACAGTCCCTAAAAATGGGAGGGAAATTGGTAGAAGCTGAAGTAGTAAAACATAGACTTCCATTCAAAGCAAGACTACATTTAGATACAATGCTAACACTTACTTAGAAAATACCATTCAAAATTATATAAATGCTTACACTCCATCTTATATTCCATTTTAAGTAAAAGACTTAGCTCAGTTTCCAATTATTTTAGTATTTTCAATTTGATGAGAGAAAAAGGTTTCAATTTTGGGGTTCATCTTGGTAGATTTTTTGTGTCACTGTTTTCCTATTTCCGACACCAAAATGAAACAGAAACAACTCCATCAGTCTGCCCACTGTCCCCTCCACTAACCCTACCTGCAATTTTATCCTGAAGAATCATTAGATTTAAAAAGATTTATCTTCTTAAGCCAACTTCCAGCAAATGAAAAATCAAACTTGTGCTCCTACATCAGCTGGCTTGTGGAGCAGTAAATAGAAGGCAGTTTTGGTGCCAAAGGTAAGGTTTTACTTCCCTTTGAGGATGTAGATTAAAAAAAAAAAAAAAAAAAAAAAATCAATCTAATTTTGAAAAGAAGACTATAATGATAAAAGGAAGATCATAATAAAATGTGTGTGCTTGATATTTGTGCTCTACTTTATCAGCTCGCAGCACCTGCTGCCTAAGATGAAAAGCAGATTAAACCTGCACTGAGCTTGCTTCACTGCCCAGTTTGAGCAGGACTGCCGAAGGAAATGAAGAATAGCTGAAGAAAGAAAATGAAGCTGGTTTTCTTGAACAAGCTTCAAGAAAACATCGACATTTGATTCCCAACATGGAATTCTTAAATGCAAACTCCGTTTTTAAAGATGACTCAGTAATTTCTGAAAACTAGGGGTCTTAAACTGAGAAAAGGTATTACTTCCAATGACTGCTTACATTCACATCAGAATTTTAATACAAAATACATATCATCAGATTGCTTTCTATTAAAACTGAGATTCTGTTTTTAACAAAAAAATATAAAAACAAATCCAAATAAAATATTAGTATTTTTCAAGACTTCTTGCAAGCTGCCCTGCAGTTTCAAGCCCCTCAAAACCAGTATAATTTTTCTTGGGGCGTTGGTGGGGTGGGAAGATGAAGCTGCAGGAAGGAATAGACGTAAATGGAATGGAATAGAAGTAAAAGTTAAGGTTTTGGATTTACCTCAAAAAAACACTTAGGTGACTAACACCAGCACTGCTACAGATGAAACAATTTTAACCTACACTTAGCTATCAGTTTTCCATTCAGTTCAATCTAGATTTCCTGCAACTTTTACTCTGCGAGGAACAGCATTTCCTTCTCTCTCACCAATTAGATTGTACGGCCTTCTTCACAGAAATCTTTGAATACTGGTGCTTTGACCTGCAGGGAAAGATACATCCTCTGAAAGCCTTTTTTTTCCCCTACATACTTTATGTAAGGATTATGTTTCCCAATATTCATATTTGTTTCCTTAGTACTAATATGACACTGCTTCCAAAATAAGGTATTTGGGGAAAAATACATAAGAAATGTACTTATAGATTGAATCAAATAGGAAGCTATGATCCAATTCTGAGATTCAAATGAAATGTTGTTCATTCAGCTTACTTGTCTTCCTCTGTTTCACACCCTGAGCAATTACAAGCCATGCAATTATATTAATATCCAATCTTGCAAACAGACATTTTTTGTCCTTGGAAAAGATTATAATTCTATCTTATTATGTTACTACTACTATTTGCAATGCTGTGATAGCCCACAGTGATACAAAACAGCATCTCTTCACATACAACCTTACAAGTCCCCAAAGCACGGCAGACCTAAGCAGTTATAAAGATCACTTTAGGAAACCAGATGGCAAATGCTTGTGGTTAGTAAGATTAATGACTGAATCAGCCAAAATCCACGCTTATTAAATCTACTGCTAACTTATGGAGGACAGTTGAGGAGAAAAATCCCTCTCTGTTTAACAAGTAACACGCACAGGCAAACTTGAACAGGATCCCATTTTGAAAAAATTCCACAGTTGTGCAAAGCATTCTGGAATATGCATTAATCCTGTTACTTTACTATACACCCTGCTGAGCCAAGATCTTAGCTATGCCCCAAACCAGAATGTGTCTCAACTCACTGACTCATCAAGTGGGATAGGCATGTAATTCCTTCTATTCAATGACACTGAAAGATCTTAGACAGAGCCGTCAACTGAAATGAAAAACGTGGTAATACCACACAGTTCTGGAAATTCTTTAGGATTTGTTATGATTTATTTTCATTAGAGACTCTTTGATCACACTGAGCCAAGTCTTCCTCTTATACAGTGCACTAAATAACCAAGAGAACACCTGAACATGGGCACTTCAGACTCCTTCATCTGCTGACTCTTTCCATTGTGCAGCTGGCCAGTGAACTGGCCTTAGTGAGCTACTTGGTTCCATGCCTGCCATCCCGCACAGCGCACAGCCCAATGAGCAAACATAAAAAATAAACGTTAGTCTTCTGAACATTATGGCATCTTGTCTTTCAAATAACAAAGCACAGATTCATTCGGAATCTGAATGTACTGAATCACTCTTGTCTTCTAGGCCATCTTTGACCCAAAAGGAGATATGTAAAACACACTTTACATCCTAAATGGCTACTCAGAGAATTTGCTTGCTCCACGTCCCCTGCCAGCAATGTCCATCAGCTGTACACCACCAGCTGCCACAAGGGACAAAGAAAGCCAGTCCAATCTCTGTAGGAAGTCACATTCTCACAGGTTACAGGAGAAACATAATCTGTTCAAGAAGTCTGGGTTAAAAATGAGTGCATGAAAGTGCAGAATGCATTAAAATTTCACATAAAGCCTTAATATCCAAGGCAAAGAGTACAACCCTTACCCATTTTCAAATGGGCAAAGTGACAAGAGCTGAACACAGCTGAAATGAGAAGGACTTGTGCTACCCCTCAGTAGTAGAGAGTCTTTTAGAGTCTACGTTTTCCCATGCTGGATCTCAACATTAATATTCCCTCCACAGAAGTTCCAGGACTGTCAATCATCTTCTGCCAGAGAAGCTGCTCTTCTCCTTGAGAGTCCATCCAGTCAACCTCTTTGCCATTACTTATGCCTGGAAATTGCAAAAACATCACACATTTTTGCACTATTAGTAAGCAGTTACTTAACATCACTGTTCATTCACTCCACCAGCCTACAGAAAGATGACAAGCACTTTATAGTACTGCCTGTGTAGGGAGCTGCTTCTGGATAGCACCAGTTTGAAGTGTAACTGGGCTCCATGTTTTTGTGTCTCACCCAATGAAGGAAAGAAGTAAATCATCAGTGGATGACATATTGCCCCCTCTCCCCTTCCAGTTTCCCAAAACTTCTGTATACTTTTCATACACTCAATAACATTTCTACACCTCATACATACGAATCATTTAGGGTGGTAAAGAAGGACAGCAGAATAAGGAAAGCAATCATCAATAAGATGGGACCTTACCACTTCCAGTACTCAAACGAACTCCTCCCAGAAAAATATTACTGGAAAGTGACTCCTTGTCCCACACAGTCAATTCTAAGCAGACATTATGTATATCCCATACATTCAAGCCACTGAAAGCAAATGTATGATTCCACTGGGGGTTCACGTTCTTCTTTATTATGGGAGTCTTGTGTTTTGTAGCTTTGTTGTCATCTGGGAGTAGGTACCTGAGAGACAGAGAAAAGGAAAGCTCAAGATGTAATAGGATGTCCCACAATATTCATAAAGAATTAGAATCACACATGGCTTGAATAATGTCAGAGACCCATTTCTCACTGTAATTAAATTAAGTATACACATTTGTGCACCATTTGCTGCTCTTACAATTACAATTTCAGTTATCACAATCGGAAAATGAAATCTAGTCTCCTTGTCCCATGCCTTTTATTTTTGTTCTATATAAAAACAATTTTTATTTCCATGTGACTACATACAGTCATTAAAACGTTGACTAGAAAGGGAGGATGGCCAAGATGGCTTCACAGCAGCCCCCCCAAAGCAGAAAAGAAGGTCTTCTCAAATGAAACAGAAATGACTGACAAAGAAGGAACTCCAGAAGTTTATCACCTATACCTATGTGGTCTTACTGAGAGAAGAAACATCAATGCTGTGAAGTCTGAAATGCATTTCACATTTTATTTTTAGTAAAGAATTTCTTTAGTGAAACAAGCAGTGCAGATCAGACTACTGCAGTTCTACTTCAGTACTAACTAATGTACTACTAGTTCATGGCAACTTGACATGACAGACGACCAGTCAATAGTGCAAAGTAAACAGAGGCCAGTTCCACCACGCTGAATGATCCATGTCAGCAAGAGCTGACACCACTAACTAAGAATACATCACAGAATCATTGGCCACACATTGCTACTGCTAATGTAAAATAACTTCGGCAATATTTTCTCTTTGGCATCTGCTGCAGGCTCCAAGCTGAAACAAGCCATAATGGGATCAAGCAGTCTATTTTTCAGTAAAAGGAACTATATCAGGAAAACAGATGGCACAAAAGAACAAATGCTTATGAAGAATAGCTCAAACTTTTTCAATACAAAGTATATGAGCTTAGTGAAAGTTCAAATCAGACTGACAGATCAAGAGAAATTCTCAGCTCTTCCAAGGGCAGGATTTTTTTGTACGGACATTTGAAGAAACAAGACTCAAATAATCACTAGTGAACTATACATCTAAAATTCAGCAATTCTGAAAGCCACCACTGAGAGCAAAAACCAGGAAAGAAAAATGTTTTAAGCAATCCGTTATTTCTCTAGTTTATTGAAAATCCAGTATAATGAGACCTGTATAATGAGACATTATACTCATTTTATTCAATTACAAGTACACCTTGTATGTAGCATTTTCTATATAGTCTGACCGTCCACCAAAAATACTGCTTATTGAATTAAAAGGTCACCTTGAGCATAATATCTGCTATTTATTTCCATGGAAATTACAACAAAGAGTACAATAATGCTATGTGACAGAGCAAATTCTCAGCTCCTCTCTTAAAAGTATTTGTCTCAATTTGCTGGAAATGCAAAGGTCACTGTTAGATCAGGTATCATGTCAGTGTATGAACCTCATTTTCCATGTTCTTACCTCCAAGAGTGATGAACGTTCCCCTACCTCCCTCTGCTGACTCAAAGGAAGTACTTTATTTCACCAAACTTTATGTTCTTTTTCTTTAACAATGTGCACATGAGGACGATGAATATGCTTTAATGTAGTAAGTGATACAGATTACATACTGTTTCTTGACTGAGTCTAGATCAGCTGGTATTTAAGCACTGGGACAACTGAGACCTCCCTGTCCTTATCCAACAGCATCCTCCACCATCCCATTTCAAATTGGCAGCTGCTTTTCAGTACTGACTTTCCACATACACTTACATAGATACACTGGGGGAAAAAAAAGGTGAAAGGACTATGCAGTGCAGCCATTAAATAACAGGGCAGAAAAAGCTACTGACCCTTTCACAAATGTGTCTGATGTGCCTCCTGATTTCACTGCTGTTAAATTCTTAGCTTCTTTGATGACGACTTCTAATATACCTCCAGTGGGCGGGTGGTTCTCTCCCTTTTTTCCTTTCTTAAAGCTCTTCTTTCCTACACACACGAAAGAGTTGCAATATTGTCATCAGCAGAAACCATACACTACAAAACTGATTTGGAAACTTAAATTCTCATGGCTGGATTCTTTTACTCATTTCCTTCAATGGGATTAAAGGATTTCTTATAGCAGATTCTGATTCTCTAAGGGTATCGAAACTGAAATGGCAGGGGCAAGGTGTTGTATGTGAGGGGGGCCCTCATGAATTTAATTATTTGTGGATCATTATGCTGAACAGAAGGACCTGCATGTGCCATAATTCCAATCCTCCTTTCAGAATCCAATTCCGCCACTGAGCTTACGGAAGCCAAACATCACAAACAAAGAGGAAAAAAAAGAAATCTGTCCTAAAGTTTAAAGTGCATTAATATACTGTGTGCATTCCTCTTGTAAAGATACAGGGTTCCTCACAGACAGTGAGGAAGGACATGTGCTCACTGACACACTGCTGCATTTAAACAGCTACATGACGACACGTTACTTGCTTCTGCTGCGGATTCTAAGGTATGTATCAGCAGGGATCATTTATACGGATTAGGACTGGAAGCATAAGGACAAGAAGAATAGGAATGATGTTAAACTGTTACTAATTAAAAAAAAATGTAAACAGTACATCTACACTTTCTGGACAGCAATTAGCTTTCAGAGAGAAAACCTTGGCACTACTGCAAACAGAGGGAATGCTATTTGTCAAGAAAAAATAAAGAAAAAAATTAATATGTCACTAAGAAAGAATTCCTCCTGGACTACCTGTAGCCTGTAAGACCATGTACTCTCAGGTGCAATCTAGTGGGTTTTTTCTCCTCAGAAAATTATCCCTCACTCATTACTAATAAAAATAATGTTTTACCCTCAAATACTAAAACAATATTTTACAAGATGGAATTACTGCTGTAATGCAGCAAAACAAAACAAAGGTAAACTTAAAACGATATAGGCAAGCTTCTGGCCAATTAAGCAAGAACTCAGGGAAGTCTATTACTCTGATCTGTTATAGCACTATTCTAGAACTTGTTGAACAAAGAACACAAGGACTACAGTTCAGAACATTTATGTGTATGTGGCTGTCCCTGGTCATACTGTTCAATGTCTTAGCCTTTTCTAACTAGGACATAGCCACACATCAACATTTTACCATGCACACTCTTCTTCCCCTTCCCTCTCCTTAAGTACAATGTTACACAAGAGAGTAGAGGATAAACTAACTTACGGTTCAGAATTTACACAGATAAAGACAACTAATAAATTCAAGCCTGATTCAAATTTTCACTAACTTCATGTCTTCATACTAGCTGAAGATTTTCAATACTCAGAGGGATGTTACTGTAAACTGCCAGTGATGATTGTTTTACCTTGAAACTGCCCTAGAGGAAGCATCAAGTTTATCTCTGGGGGAATGTAACGTAAAACAACTGTCAGTTCTCCTTTATACTGAAGCCCAACATCTGTTGCAACCTCCACCTGAAAGTAAAAATAAATAAATGAATAGCCCCAAACATAAATCCAGCTAAAGCTAATCACTCATTTTTGCTGTTTGATTTTAACTTTGTTGTATCAATAGTGTTTGAACTGCTTCTTAAACAAATCAAGGTCACACAACAGTAGACACCATACAGCAAACATACACAGGACAGAGAGATATCTAGCATGAATGAGTGAAACAACCGAAGAGAAAACTCAAACTCCTTTATAGAGACATAATCTGCTAATTTAAGATGACATTCTCTTGCCCTTACTTATCCCAATGAGGTTTTTACTCCATAATAGATTTCATGGATTTTACAAGAGTCGCTCTTGAGTCACTGCTGGAACAGAGGTGTGGGGAACCACGGCAGGGGAAGAGAACAGAGTGCAGCTCTCCAACAGAAAACTGTGAAAACTAAGGTTATCCTCAGCGCCCTTGTCCACTCAGATATTATTTCTGCATCTTTTTTATTTTAAAACATTTGATCTTGCCTAAGAAGAGTACATCCAGGACACTTTTAATAAGTACCAAGATGGCACCAGTGTCTGATGTCAGTTGCTACAACAAAGGACAAAAGAAAGCCCGTAGTAAATGCTGGTGTATAATTTTAACAACAAGAAATCATCATTTAAATTTTGTCAGTAAGGCAGCTCATTTAAGGTCTCAACTATGTAGGTTTTGCATCAATTTCCCATAAAGGCCATGAGGATTATTTTTCTGTTATACTGGGGGAAAACTGATGGCATAAATTCTCACATCAGGAACAGTTTGCCAACCTTCCCTACATACAACGTGGCTCTAGACTCCGATTCCCTCTTTAACCACAGAAATATTTTCTGTTCTTTTTCTGATTTAATCATGCTCCTTTTGAAAATAAGTGATGTTGTGCTCATAGAAGACATAGGTCTTAAGGTCTCCAGTATTTTCACTAAAGCTGCTAAATGATACAGGATAAAACAAATCATACTTTGTAATAAAACCCACAAAATGTTTCACTGCCATTTCTTTCTCTGTCATGCAGTTCTTATGAGAGAACAGCACACAACTTGCTTGTGTGTTAACCTGTGCTTTTTTTTTTTTAATTTCAAAATACAATAATTTAGCTGTCAGAAGAACTATTATCTTCTGAACAACAATCTTAACAGCATTTTAAGTTCAGAAACATTATTTATAACAACTTAGGAGTCAGACAAGTCCAATTTTGCATTTTATTTCTTTGTTAAAAAAAGAACAAGTTTGAAAGCCCTTGTAATGGGTTTGGAAATAATCAAACGAGCTTCTAATTGGAAAGATTTAAATGCTTAGCATCTCATTACTATTTTTCCTGGAGACTTTTTTTCATCTCTAAACAAGGCCCCCAGACATCGAAATGAGAAGGAGATTACTGCATGAAAAAAAAACAAACCTCTCAACTTCAATCAAACTCTAAGCAAAACAAATAGAGGATGCATATCATACAGTAGCAGAAGAGTTGGTTCTAAATGAAATCTAACACCAGCAAGGGATATGCCAGAGATGTGGCAGATGTTCATTCTACTGCAAGAGCAGAGCCAACATGAGCAAACTATACGATATAAGTTGGGTGAGGGTTGTGCAAGCTTGTAAGAAGGATAATCCTGGTCTGGATGCTAAGCTGACTGAAGCACATTTGCCATCATAAGGCAGTTTCTTTTCCTGGTATCTTGTGTTCCATTTGAGTCACAAAGGAATAGATGCTGATCACTCTTACTAACAGAGCTAAACTAGCAAACTGGAATTGATCTTCCTTGCTGGTTCTAAAGTGTAAGCTGTCCACATGTTAAGAAGAGACCAATTTCTTTATGTATCTTCTGTGTTACTACTTACTGAAGTATACATTTGATGGCTTAGATGTAAGACCCACAAAAGGTCATGCCAGGAAATTATACAGCAATCAGATTAAACTGTGGAAAATAAGTCAAACAGTCCCTCCTAAAGCCCCAAATATAACATATAGTGTATAATGAGAATGAAATATATAAGTTATCCAAGTCTATCCCGCATCATCTGCAATACAATCTCAGATTTTTCTGTATCAAGAAAAATAAACTTTCTGAAATAGCAATCTAAACCACTAAAATTCCTGGGGATTCTGGCTGCTGCAGGAGCAAGCAACTCAGTAGCCTTTAATCCTCAATCTTAAAATAACAATTTGAATCTCTTCCAAAAATGCACACCTTTGCCCTCGCCAAAGGGGTGTCTGAAAGACAGAAGTCACCCTGTCTGTAGCTAAGTATAGTGAAAGTCCTATTTCACAAACTAACTGATTTACCTGCTGAGAAGCCTCATCTTATACCTTCCTGGATGGAGTGATTGAGAGATTATAAGTCATTTTGTTGCACATGCAAAGAGTGAAGCACTTTGAACTGAAGCAGAAAAAGTCTTTTTCCTTACTAAACTCCTGAGGGCTGGACTGGGATAGCGGTAGAAAAATCAATTAAATCCTTTACTCAGTCATTTTTCCACTGCAGTTTGCAGCAAAATGAACATACAGTTTATTTAAAAGGTGTTTCTTGGTGGTTTTTTTTCTGTTCTGTTCATTTTTTCTTTTAAGTAGCCGACAACATGTACTGTTCCTGAAGTCTTCATGAAAATGAAAATGTTCTGACTGAATAAAACACACAGGCACGATTTTCACCTCCATATTAAACAATCGTAAAGTCATCGTTCTATAAATATGTTCCAAAGAAAAAATAACTAAGCCTCACTAAATTTACTTCTCAGTGGTTTCATTGGTCCCTGGAAACCCTTACCTTGGGCTGAAGCACAAACCACTCATCACCCTGATTTTCAAAGTTCCAAGAATCAAATGGAATTTCCACTTCTCCAAGAAAGCTGTTACGTCCAAATCTGTCATAGTGCCAGACAGAAAGCTGCAGGGTCCTGGTTTCTAGCTGCGTATGACTGATGACATACTACCAACAAAAAAAAAACAAAACAACCAACAGTAAAAGAAACCCTCAAAATAAGCATAAATAATAGTTTCCATGGAGCCTTTTACAGTAATAGCTAAGTTTTGTGAAGCCCGCAGCAGCTAATAAATGAAGCATGAAAGAGAGATTTGTTTGCTTTGCAAAGACGACTTCAATAGCTAGAAATCTCATAGGAAGCTGTTAAACCTAACTCTTCTCTCTGTATTACTTACTGCGTATTTATGGTCATAAAGTAAATAGTAATGTTTAAAACCATCAACCTGTTAATTCCTTACAGCTTATGTAAAGGAAGCAGTTCAATACCAAAGTTTAGTTTGTAAGAAGAAATCCTACTGGTTCTCTCATCACTAAGGAGAGGCTGCTGGACACTGCATTCTAGAAATAGTGTTCTCCTCTTCAATTCTATCTTTGTAACTTCAGAATCATTGTTCTGAAAATAAATAAAATTGTACCTGCAACACGTTCACCAAGATGTCTCAGTCTCAGCAACACAGTTTGTTTCAAAAGTTATTAAAAATCCTAACATCATATTCTAGCAAATATACAGAAAACTATAAACATCTGGAATGAACATTCTATCTCTGCTTTTAGTAAAAAGCCAATTAATTCCACAAGGTTCACCCTTCTTCAAGTGTTAGTTGAGGAAACCCAGATGTCTTCTTTTTTGTTTGTTCTCAGTGCAATGCCTGGACACAGATATATTCCCCAGAATCTGAAATGGTGAAGCCAGTTGGCTAGCCACGTCAGTAGGCTATTAAAGTATAGATACGTCTACACTGCTTACTCCTAGATGCCAACTATGAGAGCAGCAATATTCACCAATAACGGAATAAACATCCAAGACAAAAGATAAAGACAGATACATACATACATGCATATGTATATATGTTTAATGATACTAACAGTTGCAGCAAATAAATCTAGCTCTTGCTTACCTTCCAGCAATTCAAGTAAATCCTTTGTGTCACAATTTCCATTTTCAGCAAGCTGCTAGTTCTTATCCCTGTAGAGCTCCTTACTAACAAACATTTAGCACTAACTATGAGCCCTGCCAAATAGAGTCTAACACATCCTTTTTTATTTCTTTTATTTTTTTAATCTCGCCACTTCAGGCAAGAATTAACTTTACTATAAACCACTTAAAAATGAAGCTAAATAGGAGACTCTCCCCTGGCAAGCTGCCTGGACAGACCAAGGTAAGTCTACGAAATGGTTTTGTAGCCAGGTTAGGTCAAGAGTACAAGCCAGAGAATACGTATTAGCCTCTCTTATAAGAAACGTATTTAAAGCATCACCAAAATTCCCTCAAAACTCTTTCAGGAGAATCTGAAAAGTCTCTGGCTTTATGACAGCTGGCTGGGATGACTCCAGTCAGTTGACAGGAAGCAGAATCACCAGGAGCCTGTGGTCTAGATGCCAGGCAGCTCATGGGGAACACAAAACCTTTCCAGCCTGCGTAGGCTGGGCATAAGTAAGAAGTGGGGATGGAAAGAGAATGGGCACTCTGCTCAACCAGTCCGGCAGGGAGTAGTCTCTTGTTCTCTTTTGCAACATAAAATGAACTTTTTAGGGATGCAGCTAGTGAAGCTGTTGTCAGCATTTTATTATTGAAGTCGGTTCTGCTTTAAAAACAAAGAAAAATCTCCACAGAAAATCACATTTTACTGACAGAGATTATCTTCTCCTAGAAATCAGTTAGGAAGTTTCAAGCGATCTCTGTCTCAGCATCAGTTGCTGATGTAGGGCTTGTAAAATCTCTAAGGTGTGTTCAACTCTGAGATCGCATTAGATGGGAACATCGATAGTTTTGATAGAGACCTACAGAAATCAACAGAAGTTTTACCTGTGAATAGGAGAACCAAACAAAACAGTTCCTCGGTGCTGAAAGTCAAAAATTACAACTCACACAGTTACCATATGCTTTGCTTTACTTTCTTTCTGAGGCATCGTTTTTAAACCCTAATTCCCGTACAGGAGCATTTACATAGAATGCCTATGAGCACAAGTGGAACATTCATCACAGCCCATGGGAGAGACGGCGTTCTCACCTTCAGCGTTTCATTGAATTCCGGATTGGTGCTGTTACTCTTAATTTTGGTCTTGCGTTTACTTTGGCGGGACTTATCAGGCAGGAGGTAAGCTTTGACGTATCTGTGGATCAAGCAGTAAGTTATTAACGAGGAATAAAAAACAAAAAATCTGAGCAAGGACCTGCCATTGCTTCATGAGCAGTAAGAACGAGGAAATGAATTTCTGCAGTCTAAACAACGTATGTATGTAACAGCCAATATGTGAAACATGGTAAGGTATGGTCTTTGCAAACACAGCAGTGCTGGTTTTATAGGATCAGAACAACACAACGGCAGGGTTAAATCAATTCAATCATTCTCAGAAACGCAGAAAACTTTCCCAACATTTTCCCTTGTACAGTATTATGACTCTTGACTGGTTATACATCACAATGTACATCCAGAAAGTAGCTGAGATTGAAACAAAATCATATTTGACATACAACAGGATTAGAGATGATGAAATATACTATGAATTCCTAATCTATGAGAACTGACATATTATACTGAAAACTATAATGTGAATCCCAGAAAACATTGTCCTAGCAACGTTAATCTACTGATGCACAGCACAAAGCTATTTTTCCCTCACTCCCTCCAAAACATCGCTCCTCTTCTATAGTTTAGCTTTGCTCCTAGGAGTAAGAGATCAATTCAGCCTCCCTATTAATTCTCGATTTTGCCCTCTTGCAGAGAATACTAGCAAATAGTTTGATAATTTAAGTAACATTGTTTCCTCAGAATACCTGCACACTACCCTAAGAAACATAATGAAAATGTGTTTCCCATAGAGAATGCTGGCCTGTAGCAGGCTATGTCATTGCTGACTACAGTGTGCGATGTGTTGGAGAACAGCCCTAGCAGGGCCTAAAAAGCATATTCTGTGTGCTTACGGATCAGTCCTTTGTTTTTTCTCATCCACAATGGCCAGGTTTCTGCAACTTTTCACCAGGATGTTGAGCGCACCTGTTTTGTAGCTGTAGTTGATTTGGAGAAGGATTTCACCACTGACCTTCATGTTGCTATAGTCACCAGTTTCACTGTATACACTCAGCATGCTGTTAATGCTGGTCTGCAAGGGGAGAGAAAAAGGACTTAGAAGCTTAAGCAAAGTACATTTTCCAGAATCTGCTTTTCATGGGGTCACAGATACTGTCTCACTTGTTAAGACTTGCTTTGAAAAGAGATAGAAGAAAGAAAAGAATACCACTTGCTTATATTTGATGTAAAGGGAATAAGAACTATAACTGAGAATAGCTTATTTATCTAGACAGTTTATGTTTTTTACATGCAAGACTCAAACCTACTTATAAACATGACTAAATGTAAATTATCACCATTGGACTCATGCATGAAATAAAGAACAGTCAATCTACATCAACTGTAAGCTCACATAAGCTCCAAGCAGACAAAAAACAACTCTTTGGCTCAGCTGTCCACCTAATTCTTATTGAATATCATGAGATAACTGCTGACGGAACCGTTAGAAAAAGCTCTAAGGATGATTCCTTAATGAAAATGGTATAAAAACATGCTTGATTAAAATGACACCAACCTCTCATCTGCAGTTCTAAAAGAATTAGCAAAATTCAATACCCACTGCAATTTTCCTAAAGCCAAAAAAAAATTTAGCAAAAAACCCACAAAATCTTCCACTGTATAATATATCATACCCTGATCTTTTTTTTTTTTTTTTCTTTTTCTGCTGTCCTATGCAGTATTGCAACAGGACTGTCCTTCTCCAAAAGATTTCACTGAGGAAAGAACTGAATGTTTTTAAAGAAAATTGGAGCAATGTGCAAAGACATTCTCAGAAGAAAACGCTTGGCAGGTTTCTAGTCTTTGAATAAGATTACTCAAAGAGATGCATAACAATATAAATCTCCCACTACATAAAACTTTGCAAGAGATATAGATACAGTTTTCAATTCAGAGGGAAAAAAGAGAAATCTTCAAAAGTAAGTTAAGCAGAGGATTGCAGAGAACTCACAGTATCACCATCTGTTTCAGGCACATTTAAGAAGTTCCATTTTCTGTCAGAGCCTTCTGGGAAGTTCTTTAAAGAAAGCAGTGCAAAAAGTCAACAGAAAACAGCATTAGATAGCTGCAGTAAGAAAGAATAAATGCAGTGATAATGCATTACCTATACAGACAGGTAAATGCAATTCACATCACAAAATAACAGCAAGAAAGAAGGAAAAGATATTGCCAAATCAGAGACATGCAAAGTGTTTTCCAAATACTTCAAGTGGCGAAGGACACATGGCTCAAGGTGATTAAAAAGAAATGAAATTATTTGCTGTCTCAAAAAGAAAAAAAATCAGATTTGTATCAGATTGTACTTGGATGTGCCCCAGTTACACCTCTGTGAACTCAGTTCTTACTTAGGCTAGTCAAAAGGTGAGCACTCCTGTATTGCAGCACTGGTGACTTTGTAAACAGCAACAACAATAACAACAACAAAAAAAGCAGTTTCTCTGAGGAGTTTGTAAGTCCAGATGGAAAAAAAATATGCATAAATGTTTAAACATGTCACTGGGGGGAAAAATACAGTTACAGAATACTGGGGAAAACACTTTCCAGTGTCTGCTCATTTGAGCAATATCTGAAAGTCTCAACAATGAATTCATGGGAAACTACATCCTTCCCTGACAGCTACAGGAAGGAAGGAAGAACAGAGTCCAGGAGAAGAAACAAAAAAGAAAATAACCATCCATATATCCATCTCAAAAATCTAATAAGGTTACACCAATGTGGCCAGAAGGAATATCTGTCCTCTTGAATCCAAATATCCAAATACCTAAAGGTACATTGGCAGCAAGGGAAAAACAGCTGGGAAATCCTAAGCGCATAGATGACCTCTGACCTTAGAATCTACGCAAAAGCAATTTCTCAACTGCTTAGAAACTGCAATATGACACATCTTCTTTCTGCACATTCTGTTCTGTGGAAATTACAACAGCCTTTACATGCACTAAACGCAGCGTCCCTAGGAAATCTAATCATTTTCCAGTTGCATTAGTAAACAAGCACTGCACACGAAGGTTGCTTAGCCTCATTTTAGCCTACCACTATGAACTACACTTGTTCTGAATCTTATCTTACAGGAGCAGGAAGGCACAGGAACAACTTAGTCTTAATGATGTGACAGGACTTGACAGCCACACATTGATGTGCTTAGGAAAGGAACCAGTAAAGGATTCAGGGAAAACTAAATAAGCTGTACATGTATTAGTTTTGGAAAAACAGAAAGAAAACACCATAATGCTAAGCTACAATTCCTGTTTAATGCCATTTTTCATTCCTATTTTCACTCACCCATCATATAAGTAGATATAAAGCATTTTTACCTTCTGAAATATTTCTTTTATTTCAAACGCTTAGTATTAGAGTACCCTTGCTATACTTTTAATTCTCATATTAAAAAAAAAATGCACTTGAAGCCTACTGTTCACTAACAACATTACTGCAATGTGACATAATAATAGTACAGTCATTTGACAGGCAAGAAAAATACAGGGAAAAAGTTGTATGAGGCAGAAAGCTCAAAGGCATATAATAAGAAAAGGAAAAAAATACAAGCGAGAATGAATGATAATAACTAATAACACAAACACAAGGAAGCCACAATGAACCTGTAATACTGATATGTTCTTAAGTGAGTAGTAGCTGGCCTTTCAAAATTTCTCCATTAGCACTGCATGCAGTAACGTTAACAATCACTTTAGGGTGAGTACAAAGAAATAAGAGCATTAAGATGTGAGATCACCTCAAACCTCCAGCAGCAGCAAAGCTGCACTCTGCTTACGAAAAGGTAAAAAATGGACTCTACATAAAATGGATGAAATCCAATGTACAGGCAGAATTCTGCCTACAGAACACAGAGAGAAGGATCTCCAATTACAGTTCCTCAATTAATGGGATGAATTGAGGAAGCACTTAAGTGCTTGCAACCTTCCTACCAATATTCAGAGAAAAGAAAAACAATTCTGCCTGTAAAATCATTGGCCAGCAAGGATTGGAGACAATGAGTCATAGTCAACCTCAGAGAAGTGGGTTTTATTAGACCAACATCAAACAAGCCACAATAATTTGGCGTGATGTGCCACATACTTCTGTTGTAGCTGTTTCTGCAAATTACACAAATTAAAAGGGAAAAAAAAGGCCTGGACATGGGCAGAGCTGAGATACCAAAATGTTCTCCATGGACACTTCTCTCAGCCCTTTGTTGTTCTCAGATAAGCCAAGTTTGGGTTCAGCCAACACCATCTCTTTGGGATCAAGAACTTTAATGTGTATTCCCACAGCTCTGCCTGCAGGAAGACTAATGGGAATACAGTCTGAAAAGAACAGTTCACCAATCTTTTAGCTGTGAAGTTCAAAGTGTCATGGGCCATATTTTCTCTTCCCTTTTAGCATAAGACTCCCCAGCTATCCATTCTCTTCAACTCTTTCACCCTGTATCTGTTGTTTGTTGGAGCCTACTGCTACTCTGTGTGCTGGCCAGAGCTATTCTCAGCACAAGGCATGAAGAATAGCGGCTAAATAATGCTCCAAGACATCACTAGAGATGAGATGCACACATCTTGAGTGTCAGTAATGCAGTACATACTACGTATTTATAAACTAGACATGTTAAAGACTATTCCTACTAATTGTTCTTATCACAGTGAATAACTGACTGTAAAAAGAGCTGCGTAAGACTTGTTGTGCTAATTTTGTTGCATGCCAAGCATTCATAACAACCTGAAAATGCAACCATTCAAAACCAACACCAAGTTGCAACAGATAACCAAAAGACTCAAACATCTGATTTATATTATTCAGTTTGTGGGCATGACTGACATAAAGAAAATTACCACAGTTATTTTAGGAGGTAGAAAAGCTGGCACCCACCAGAACCCCCCAATATCTCCTTCCTCATTGTAAAAAGAAATACTTTTTGAGATTGAGGTGGTGCAACAGTCCTGTCACAGTTAATGGAAGGACGAATATTTGTGTCCCAAGAACCTTAGCATTCAGAAAACAAAATAAGGTGAAAGAACACACCACAGCTTTGTTCTACTTATTTCAAACACATTGAATGCTCCTCTGGAAAGCTGAGTCGCCACATTCTGCAAACATCTATGGCTTTCCTTCCCTAAATACTAGCTTGGCAGTAACCTGAATGTGTAGACAAATCTGCTGATGAATAAAGGTTGTAGCTTCCCACATGTGCTGAGAGATTGATGTCTTAGCTCTGAACAATGGAAAAATCTTAATAGTCAGAACACTCTATCTAAAAGCTAAAGGATGTTCCTCGACTGGAGGATGAAATGGCCAGGAAAACTACTAAAATATAAACTGTAATGCTTGCAAGTGATACAATGTTTATCTCCATTTTGAAGAAATAATGGTCTGATATGGAAGGAAAAAAGCAAATTTTCCACTCAAGATCTTACTCTTGACAATCCACTTGTCAGATGTCCATGTTTCCTTGAATAACGAGAGGCTACGATGTCATCAATATCTTCTTCTGTTTCATCCAGAGAATCCTAAATGAGAAAGAAATGTGCAATTCAGTCATTGTGTTCTCCACTGTATTTGGTCAGCCTCTGTCCCTTGACATTGTTTCACATATTTTCTGCTTGGGCAAGATGGTACAGGATGCATTTAGAATTCTAATCTCCAGAGGAATTTTGAACTAACATTTTCCATATTTTTGCACAGGTACACAGCAAAAAAAAAAAAAAAAAGAAGAGGTCATCAGATTTCAGGTTTCAACTGCTTAAAAAATGGAAGAAATGACGCACACACTCGCTATCTTATTCTGTAGACATATAATTTTGCATCATCAATAATTGTTCACATAAAAAAATTCTTGCGTTAAAATAATGCATTATCAGAAAAATCGCAAAGAAATCATTAGTTGCACACCTTCATAGATATATATGGGTGAATTCTAATAATCAAGACTGAACTCTAACATCCTTAGCTCATATCCAGGAAAAATATATTATTTTTTAAATACAGCAATAAAGTAAAACCTAACAAAGAACTTAGTATCTGGCTGATAGTACTAATAAGATTCTTAACTTGAAGCAAAAATTACAGGGAAAAAAAAGTCATCTTCCATTCTATTCAGATCAGCTGGGAAATTTCAAGGATCTCTTTAAGCCTCATGGCAGGTATTGTTTTTATGGAAGCCAAATGTACAAATCCTTTATATCTGCTTTGCAGCTATACAAGTCACATGTGACGACCTACCTCAGTGGTTGCACAACCATTCTCTATACCTTCTAAACTAAACAGAGATCACACAGACTTATATCCTAATTATGAAGAACAGCAGAAAAGAAATGCTGCTGGAGAGTTAAACTGTCATTGTTTATTTAAAGATCTGCAAAGTGCTCATTATTAGTATGAATAAAACTAGCTGTTACTTCTCTAATCCTTTGCTCCAGTAACTGAAATGAATCAGCTGAAAACTACGCAAAATTTTCTATTACTACTTTCCAACCACAGTCGTGCACATTTAACGTTGAGCAAATGGAAATGAGGACAAGCCATCACTTTATTCAGGACAAAAAATTACATAGTGAAGCAAAAAAAAAAGAAAACCAAAAAAAACCTTTTAGCTTCACGTTTTTACAATGAGCCTCCTCTGATGGTGTGTTTCCTTCCTTTTCTACTTGGGGTCCACTGCAGAACAAAATGTCATACATACTTCACACTGTAAACAAAATGTCCATAGAGACCCAGGCACAACATAGTACATTATTCTCATGAGAAACACTGTTGAATCCTTCAAAAGTAAATAAATTAATTAATTCAAAAAATTAAATAAAATAAACAAGCACTTATCACTTCTACTCTGCTTATTGACTTTAGAATTCAAGTGACACAAAAATATTAAAATGACACCGGCAAGATGTTCTTCCAGCCAGTGCATCAAAGAGAAGCAATTCTGGTAATACAACCCAACTCTTTCCTTTACACTGTTGTATCCACATATGTGGTGTTAAAAATCAAGTGCTGAATTTTGATTAGTGAATAATTATACACAGCACGAATCACAAAATGGGATGTTTAAGTTTTAGACACTCAACTGTTGACAGCCCTTCCGTGACAGGGAGTTGTAGAATCACAGAATACCCTGAATCGGGAGAGACCCATAAGGATCATCAAGGCCAACTCCTGGCTCCACAAAGCACCACCCAAAATTCAAACTCTGTTTGAAAGAGCTGAGTCCTAACAGTAAGTACGTGATCACCAATTTTTGTCTGCAAGCGATAATATAAATTTAAAACAAATGGTTACCATTTAACATAAGCACTTAATTCCTTCTCCACTACAATGATTATGTTTCTCAGTCGGTGTTACAGAACAGTAGGTACATAATTGGTTAGTGTTATTAGCTTATATAAGCCTATTAAAGTTAGAGCTGGAAGGACACTAATCTTGTGGTCTCCAGTGGGAGTTACAAAATGCACATTATCCAATTTCTTCTAATAAAGCAGCTGAGCATGTAATGAACACTACTTGGTCAGGAATTCAACGCACACCTCTCAAGATAAGGTGCACACAACTGAGAGCAGCACTACGTGTTTAGCTGGCTCCTTGAAAAATACCACAGCATGCAGCTTTCTCGTCCCTTCCCACTTCCAAGAGTAAGAAGAAAAATACCACTCAATCTCTATCTCAATATGTAAGCGGTGCTATTGATGAAGCTGGGAGCAGAGCAGCAAAAATCCTTTTTCCACCTTTCCAGCTGGCAATCTGCTTATCTTATTTATGTGTGGCATCTCTCACACCACTACCGTTAGTTCCCATCACCTACAAGAGACTAAAGGACCTCAGCTAGGTCCACCAGCCAGTCAAGATGAAAGAAGTCATAATTCTTCTCAGACTAAAGGAACTGTTGTAATTTTCATCAGATATTCTTATTTTTGTCTCTTGTATCAAGCACCAAAACTAAACCCCAGTGGGAGTATAACCTTCATCTCAAAACACAGCATTCATATGCAATCTAAGGCAAGACACTGAAGTAGTCCCATGAGTCAAACTACCCTAAAAAATATGCTGAGATGCAATCTGGCATTTCATTTAGAGAAAGCAAAAACTCCCTTCCGTGTACAAGGAAGGCAAAAATCAAATAACCTAAAACTACTGTGGATAAGACACTTCTGGTGCATGCCTTAAAGAAATTCCCAAGTGACAACTATCACACTCTGTACAACTAGAACAAGAAACCAACATAAAATATTTAAAGCTCTTATTTTCTTGTTTTATGGTTTTCTTCTGCCATCTTTTCCAGCTTCTAAATCAAGAACGCACCCTTTTTCTTTACTAAAATTAAATAATAAAACATTAATTTTTGAAGGTTATTTCAACATAAATCTGATGCACAGAAATGGCTTGTTATTCCCTAAATGTTTCATCCAAACAGAGCAATGCTGCAGGCAAATTCACTAGGTGGTTACAACCCAAGAAACAGATGGGAATCCCAACTTACTGTTTTCCACAAATCCTCAACTATCAAACATTACAAGAAAGGGACACGTTTCCCATGGCCAATGCCCTTCTGAAAAGAGCAGATGATAGGAAAGTATTATGGCAAAAGACAAAACATTACTGTTGCAGCAGGTAATGTTTCTTTTCTCTTTTCTTTCTTTTTTTTTTTTTTCAAGCTAACCATTTGCATTTGGAAACTTCAAAACAAACTATGATTAGATGAAAAAATGTTCAAATTACTCTTTTCCTCATGCATACTAAACAAGCTAGGATTTTTTTTCTTTTCATGGCATCGATGCACACCTGCAACTTGTGCATCTGTCTTGAATACGTGCATAATGTGAGAGGGAAGTTAGCTATCACATCAGGAAAGGCAGTCCTTACAGACCACACAAAAAGAGGAATGCAGATGTATGTAAGAAACTGATTAACAGAAAGAAGAGATTGGCAAAAGTGGTGGGAAAGATAGGGAGGGCTTCATCTTCCAAAGAAACAAGGCAAAAGACAGAAACAGATAAAGATTACAGCTGATACAGTATTTTTCAGCATAAAAATTAAAAATGAAGAAAGTAGGAGTTAACAGCACTTTGGAGTATCTATAATCTAGAGCCTGAAATTCAGTGCTATTCACCTGAAAACTCAAGAAGTAGCAAATTAATAGCAAACTGTTATTCACTGGAATCATTCTACAGCAAACAGACTAAAGAAAAATGAAACTGTTTAGAAACTCATTAAATACCCCTCAACTTACATTTTGTATCACTTATACATACAGTGCTGATTTTCTAAGACTGAGCAAACACGATTTCTGCCAGATAAACATTCACATGTTTACAACTCACCAGCTCCTCATCTAAGGCGCTAGGTACAGATTTGCTTCTTACGCTCAAGGTATCCTGTTTTCCTTCAGAGTAAGATTCACTCAAATCTATCTCAGATCGGCTACGGTCTAGAAAATGAAAGTAACAAAGCAGTTCATTACAATTTTGTGTAAAGAATACTGCCACTTTTGCCTTGCTACTCTTTACTAAGTGCTGTCTCAGACCGTTTTTAAAGGAAAAACGTTAAAATTGCATTTCTGTACACATCGCTTACAAACTCTATGACAAATGACCATCGTGATGAAAAATAGAAAAACATGTTTTATGGTGCTATTTGGCCTTCTGCCAACATTTTTCACGTGCACTTTTTATCTGATGTAATTGTTTCCAGTGGATGACATGACAGATCAAGCTTTTGACTTCATATGTTAGACCTATTACCTTGGAATACTGCATCACTTGGAATAATGCCCAAGCATTTCTAGAGACGACAACATTACCTACCATAACCAAAAACCCTTCAGCATCTCCTTCAGATTTAAGCAGCCTGAGATACAGAAGGGCACAAAAAACATTTCTGCCACCACTGTGCAGAAAGGGTCAAAGCGAGTAAGTCTCTAATTCTACATTTTTTTAAATTTCCACAAGTTTCTCATCCCTTCTTTAAAGGCACAAGAGATGCTAGATATTTTAGAGAAATATTTTCTTCGTTCTCCCCCTTAAATGTTTTGTGCTACTGTTCAATAAATAGATTTAAAAAAATGAAGAGAATACTTCTACATCCTGCAGATAAGAATCTGTAAAGTTTTCTGCTGTCCATCCTCTTCTGGTCTATAACTGATGTGACAGGAAAGGTCTGCATTTTGAGCTTATGCCATAGAATCACAGAACAGTTTGGGTTGGAAAGAACCTCAAAGCCCACACCACCCCAACCCCTGCCATGGGCAGGGCTGCCCCCCACCAGCTCAGGCTGCCCAGGGCCCCATCCAACCTGGCCTTGAGCCTCCAGGGATGGGGCACCACAGCTTCTCTGGGCAGCTGTGCCAGCAGCCTCTGAAATCCCCCAGAAATAAGACAACAAAGAGTCTGAGGGATGTTCCCAAGCTGCCTCCAATTTTGCTCAGCATCTACTTTAGTAAAATGAGGCCAGCTCTTAAATGCTCAGAAAGCCTGTAATTTGTAAGGCAGCAGAAGCAGAAGAAACAGTCATTTCAGAAATAAAGTAATAGCCAGGAATGCCTCTGCCAGGAATTGCATAATGCAGTATTCTCAAAGAAACCCTGATGCTTTCAAGTGGAAAAAAATCTAAGGTGAGGACTGTAACTCCTTTGATTAACTCAGTGGGATATGTCACTAGCTTTCTGCTTTGGGCTAAATTCAGATGAAAGAGAGCGATCCCTGTGCTCTTCTTCAGAGAGAAACATGAATCTGAACCCACTCTGTTAGCCTGTAAGAAGCAGAGTAAAAGGCAGAAGAGTGCAGGACACACCTGCCTCCCATTTCAGGTAGGAAAGGAGGATCTCCACCCACTGATGCAAAGAGGCTCTTCCTGGGCAAGCCTCATTTACCTAGCAGCCTCCAATGAAATGAGGTAAATTACAGCTAAACCAAGTGTTCAATGCATCATGTATAAGAACCAAAATGATGTGACAGCTGTAAGGGACTTGTTATCTGACAGCTCATTGTTTCTCAGTGTGATTTGTTTCTGGGCAAAGAGGGTGTGAAATGTAATCACATTGCATACAGATAGCTCACAGATAGTATTTTATATGGTTGGCCACACAGGGAACGATTTAACAATGTGAAACTGTGAATAAAAATCTTGTAACAAGTCCTAGAGTATATCTTTTGCCAGTAAGTATTACCATATTTTCAAACGTGAAACTTATTAAGTGGCATAAATTTAATTAGGAAAAAGATGAATTTAGTAGGATGAACATCAGCAAGTACATGACTCTTATACCTGATCTTCTGATGTGCACTAAAAACAGAAATCACAGACCCACAAGAATAGCCATAATCTTCTAATGATAAGGGCTAGCAGAAAAAAAGAAGACTTAATACTTGCCTGATGACAAAGATACTCTAGAAACTGCAATGGAAGGTGTTCCAGATGCTTTTCTACGGTGCTTCTTTACTAAATCTTCAGGTACACTTTCACTTGCTGGAATAATCATGCCATTTTCTGAACCAGTGTCCTGCTCAGTAAGAAAAAGGCACATCCCAGAAATACAAAAATTGAACTTACCATCAGTCTACAAAAGCACCATTTCTATTAATTTCCAGAAATCCAAAGCTTCTTTAGCACCTGGACTATAGCTGATTATATTTAGTTTACCACTTAATCTGCGCTGCTTAATGCAGATCATGCATAAAATTTGCCAAAAATTGCAATTCATGGGTACAGTCTGAGTTCGCAACTGAAAAATCAGAGTAATACATCAGGAGTGAGGGAAGGAAAGTAAAAAAAAAAAACACAAACTATACTATGCTAATTTAGCCTAGAAATTACATAAAACAAAAAAAGAAGAAAAACTATTGGCTTTATACCAGCATAATTTGTCAGGTTTGAAGTAAATGGATTTGAACTAATTAAATTATGATAGCATAATTCCTTAAATAAAGCTAGTATGCTTGATATTATTACTTTTTTCTTGCCTTCTTGTACAAGGAATAGATAACAACATCAACTGTGTCCAAATTGAATGGATTTGTCTTTTTCAATGACATCTAATGCACTTACAATAAATACAACCTGTGTGCTAGCAAGAATATAAATAAAACAAGTATTAACTTATTTACAGCACTTATAACTGGCCTTCACAAATACTAATTCATTTTTATAAAAGATTATAAATTAGACAAAGTACTTGGAAGCTGGAAAAAATTGATGTGTTCTCTCAATGAGATGGAGTTCAAAAGCTCATGTATTTCTTTCCAGTGACAAAAAGAATTATCTCTGACTATAAATTTGACTTTCCTTCTATACAACTTGTGTTGTTGCAACTTGGATCAACTTAGAATGATAGAATCATTGAAGTTGGAAAAGAACCTTTAAGATCATGTAGGCCAACCGTCAATCCACCACCACCATGCCCACTAACTTGCTGGAATAAGCCTGATTTCTTAGGAAGGATGACCAAAATGAATGCAGGATGGTTGTTCCACTCAGCAGACAGCCAAGAGCACCCGTCTGATAAAGGAATGAAGACGGTGTTTGCTTCTTGCTGAAGTGAGCCAAATCCTGCTTATTATGAAGCAGCCAAGGATGCTGACTCAGACATGGCCATCTACACCTCTAGAGGCCTAATAACAGCAAGTAAGAGGAGTCCCAGATGTTTCATTTTGACAGCATCTAGCACACATTGTGTGCTATGCCATAATTTAATCAAATCCAAAAAATTAAGATAGGTACTACCCTCAGAAGTCGGGGGGGTGCGCTGGGCCCTGCATGCTGGAGAGTCACATCCTTAGCTCACGGCACTTATTCAAGGCCCTACAGTGTCAAAAACATGTACACTCATCCCTTGTGCTTCCCACTTCAAAATCTGTAAGTCATTAAGCAATTCTGGATATCAGCAGCAATTTTTAGACAGAAAAATGCCTGCCAAACCAAAAACCACATCACTGATAGAGCACGACAAATCTTGCTCTAGTAGAGACCTTCACTGGTCCCAGCAGAATTATAGAAGAGGCAAAATCTTCTCCATCGGGCTCGTCCTTCCTGAGCTACAAATTGATCTAACAGAGCAGAGACCAGCCAAGCTGTCCTGCTCGGCGCCAGCTCCATTTGGTGTCAGCTCTACATCAGGGAACTTACCCTGCTATAATCTGCAGTCATGCTGCATGTGCTCAGCGCCGGCGACCTCAGGAGGGAAGATATGGAAGCGCTGCTTCTGTTTGCAGGGCCCATGGCCCCTCTTAGATGGCCTGCAGCTGCTTCAGTATCGCTGCTGTTCAGGGAAATAGTGCTTCCTCTGGGAAGGAGATAAGAGTAAAAAAGTGTTACTGCTTCCAGCAAACCACAGAATAAAATATCACTGATAACGGTTTATTAGAATTACATTGCTCTGGATGAACCGTGTCATCCACTGGAAGGAAACGGTCACCTGGAAAGACAAACATAAGCTGAGGTGAACCAATTATGTCATGCCTATACCTGTTTTCAGCATCTCTGCCAGAAGTGTGAACAGCCCGAGCAGGCACCTCTTCTCCAGTTGCTGCATTGCCACATGTTCATGTGACAGTACACGAGCATCTCAGCAGAAGGTGTGAGGCCTCCAGTGGGACTTCCCATACGGGGAATGAGCTGCTCCTCATTTTGAAGAAAAATTACCAGGATCTGACAGTTCTGATCACTTCTGTCAGCACTATCCCCAGGAACTCTAAAATCCTCAGCTGTGCACTCTCCTTCCTCTCCAGAAAAACAATTATCCTCTCTCCTGCTAGAAGAGCACCATCCTATTTATATAATGACAATGACTTGTGACCCCAGCTGGCAGATCATTTCAACCAGACTGAAAAGTGACAAAAAATAGCCTGTGGTCACCATGCCCAATTGCTATCTAATGCTGCAGCAGACAAGAGGGACATTTTCTATTAGAAAATATTGATCAGTCCATGTGTTAGAGTGCTAGGAAAGGTAAGCTGTTGTACTTTTTATTTTTATCACTTTTTAACTCTTGAAAGAATGAAAATGATTTTAAAATTTATTTTAATGTTTCCAGCCTAAGTCCTATTTCCATTTGAAATTTGATTAGAAGCAAAAATCCAAGTTCCTGACTCATCCGTTCTTCCCTCTTTCCCTGCAAATATCAGTTCAGATATTTTCATTTTCCTTCATAACCTAGGGAACTGTAACAGAGCCTTGCCAGACAGTAACAGTTCTGTACACAGTCCTACTTACTATTTCAAACAATTACTGATAAACAGCAATTGATGCAAGCACCACAGCCTTTTTCATGCAGAAAACGCAGCACCAAAGGACAGAGGTAATGCGATTTTGCTGGAGAAAATGATTTTGGAACTTGAAGCGTGTTTTCAGCTTGCTTAACCAATATTTTAGATCTGCAAGCATCTTCATTGTGCACACATCTGATTTTCACCTTCACTTCAGTTTGTCATACCACATTAGGGTAACAGCAGTAAAAATCTTCTCTACAATAACAAAAATTTGTATCAGAACTACTGCTGAACTGAGAACAAATGCTCAGTTCCTGTCTACCCTAAGCAGTGAACACAGATCACATTTGTAGAGTTATTAAAAACAAAGAATAGAGAGGAAAACTCCAAAAACCAGGATTGTCTACTAGTGCTACATAACAATATTTGCCCATTACTGGTCATACAGTAACCTTTTAAACAATTATCACTCCGTTTCTTCTATCAACAAGAGTAGATTATTCATAATAAACTCACTCTCACCCATGTGCACTTCATATAATCGCACTACTACTTTTTAATCTGATGAATCAGTGATCAACAAACCCTAAAAAATGTGGTCTGGTTGAATTTTAGTCCTATCTGCTCACATAAAGAAGTGCTTTTGGTGCCATGAAGTCAGAAAATCAAAGCACCTGGCTGTCATCTGTATTTTGTCAAAGCCCTTGTATTTCATTGCACACTTAATTTCTAAACCTGCCAACCATGGTCAGTTGTCAAACTGCACTGAGTAATATCAATAGAAAATTAAATTTGATTTTTATTCTGTCACACCACTTTTGATAGATTGCTTTAACTTTGTGTTACGAAAGCTCCTGTTACAGAATTTTTCCTCACTCTGTAAACTAATGTAAAACAACAGAAGCATTCCAAAGTCACACAGGACTGGGATAACAAAGATTTCAAAATGTGTTATGAGAGATTCTGTAATCATCAGTCAGAATGAGCACTTGCACACCAGATCATAGAATGGCTTGGGGTGGAAGAATCATCAAGATCCAACCCCCTGCCGTATGCAGGACCCAAAACCTCCATATCTAATACTAGACCAGGCTGCCCAGGTCCCCATCCAACCTGGCCTTGAACACCTCTAGGGACGGGGCATCCACAACCTCTCTGGGCAGCCTGTGCCAGCAGCTCATCACTCTCTCTATGAAGAACTTCCCTCTGAAATCTAATGTAAACCTTCCCTCCTTGAGCTTAAAACCATTCCCTCTTGTCCTATCACTATCTACCCTTGTAAAAAGTTGATTCCCCTCCAGTTTGTAATCCCCTTTTGAATACTGGAAGGTCATCTTCAGACCTTTGTGCTTATTTCAGCCTGCTTTTAGAGAGAGGCCCAACTTTTTTTATACATATATTATGTAGACAACAATGAAAGAAGTTGTTATAAGGTGACAATACTATGCATTTCCACATGGTAGACAAGACCTCAATAAGATGGGGTAGCGTTTGCACAGATGAGTCTAAAATTCCTACACTATTCATCTAAGGAGTATCCTGATGCTGCAAATTCAGTTTGTTCTGCTGCAGTAACAGTAAACATTTCTGCAGCAGTAGAAATAAACCAGTCCAAGAGACGAACTCCTGGCCCAGGCCTTCCTGTTTCTCATCTCAGTACAGCTTTTCTTAAATCAAAATAGTCAGAAAGAACTTTCATTCTTTCTCAATCTCCCTGTTGGTAGGTGAAATACTCAGAGTTTTGACAATGCCGCTAAAAGATGGGACAACTACAAAAATAAAAAATATGCAGGAAAATCTAGGGCAGCAACAGTGACACAACATGCTATTATATTCCCTTAATTTGAAACAGCAATGGAGGGTAGCCTGGGAAAGTTTGTTGTTATTTTTAATAAGTACTACTCAGTTCTATAAGGTAACAATGGATAAACTACAACAAACATTCTTGAAAATCTGTATAAGGCAGGAATTTTCATTCCTCTACAGAAACCCATATTATCAAATTTCCAATGTGTGTAAAACATATGGGTATTCAGTACAGATTACCAAGTGAACAAGAAAAATAAAGAAGTTGTTTGTTTACTTGATTTTGGAGGTGAGATGAGAAGAATACTGCATGTGGCATTTTATAATACTATCAGAACAGGCAATAACAAAGATTTTCAAAGTCCCAAAGAATTTTAAATGGAACTCTAATAGAGATAACTGGAACATAATATTGGAAAGAGAAGGATAAAACAGATGCTTTGAAAGAAAAAGTTACAAATTATAATGAATTAACATGTCATTACAAAAGTAAAATTTTGGGAAAAAGGTCCTCAGTTCTGCAACGTGAACACAACTTGCTGGATTAAAAGCCAGAAAAGAAAAACCAATGCACTGACAGCAATCACCACTTAAACATAAGGGAGAAAAAAGAGATGGACAGAGTATTTTTATTTAGTTAGTTGTTAAAACAGAAGCTCTCCTTCTCAGACTGTGCTCACTCAGGGCAATCGAAGACAATCCAATTCTGTGGACTGGCACATACATCAATTTCAGCACAAACTACAACAGATTTCTGCCACTCACCTCTCAGAACAAGGCGTTGACTTGCTACTGTGTAGGCTTTGGCGTTCAGCTTCACAGCCTATGTGCCTTCCACCTTCATCTTTTGCAATTGTAATTTCTCCTTTGGTAGCTGCCCTGATCATCTTCCTGATGAAAACAGGAAATTAAAAAAAAAAATGTTGTAAAAGTTGCAATATCTTTCCCAGAAACAGCAAACTGGCTGAAATACCACAAAGTGCACATTCCATTCATGTCTGAGCTATGGACAACTTGGGATATAATTGTCAACAAAGTTCCAAATCTGAATTTCAAGCTGATTGTAGGAACAAAAGCAGCATCATATTTACAATAAGCTACTTTAAGACACAGAACATCAAAATACCACAGAATCACAGAATAAAAGGTTAACTACTTGTTATGAATTAATAGTGCCTTGTGAAATCCTTAGAATTTTACAGTAGATACACAGCAAAGAGTTTTTGATCAAGTACATGTATTTTCTTGTAGGAAATTACACCAAGTGTATTTTCTCTTTGCAGTTTCTATACTTGTACATAGCAATACCTCAGACTTTCTGAAAACACAACACCACCTCCTTGTCTTACCTCACCCTGCAGTACTTGGTTTAAAAAGATGAAATGAAATTACATGTAACTGAATAGTCACAGTATACTTCACAGACATACAAGCAAAAGTGTAAAAGGTTTCCCATTATGCTAAGTTTAAGGAGTTGGCCCCAAAATGGCTTTGCTAAAGCAAATGCACTCATGAAATATACGAACATGAAACCTGAGCGAGGAAAAAGGAGCAAGGAAGAAAGAGGAGAAGTAATGAATTACTCCTAAGAGAAGCGGCCTATTTCTTGTGGAAATAAATTTATGGGGAATGTCACAATTGGAAGATGTTCCAAACCACAAACTGAAAAACGCTGAAAACAACTAAAAAAAAAAAAAAAAAAAAAAAAAAAAGAAAAGAAAAGAAAATGAAAAAAAAAACCCAACCAAAACAATTCGTTTCTCATGAGTAAATGTTCAATGGATTTAAATAAAAGAGGATCCGAAAACTAAATTTTAAGGTGCTCTCCCTATAGCTACCAATAAGCACAGTTTAGAGCAACGTATAGGTTCCCCTAAAATAAATTCCCTGAGCTGGTTTCTTCTTCACCTTCATTTAAGAAGCCAGAGATGTTCTGATGCTCTTTTCACCATTACTAAACAGAGAAAAATACTTCACATTTTCTGATTGATTGGAGGAAGGAACTCCATACCTACTACTCCTCAACAGTCAAGGTGTAGAAAGCCACCTACCCACCCTATGGTTGGGATCCACAGCTCTACCCATGACATGAACATTCATCCAATTTTATTCCCATTCATTGAACTTTCTCAAGTTATCTTTGAAAATCACACATGCAACCATATATTCAATGCATCTGTCCATGTCCCCTGAGAATGAGTGAGCACTTCTCTAAGGCCATGGCCTAAGTGGGGTTATACACTTCACAGGCTGTAAAATGACCACCATCACATCTCTTTATTCACTGTCACAACACAAAAAAACAAAGGAGCACTGCTTGGTTGTTAGACTAAATTTGCATAGCTAGAAGCCAAAGGAAAACATGACTTGTAAATGGGAGCAATGAGTATATGTAGAAAACAGGCCTTTCTTAAATTTGCTTTCTCAGTAAATGTCTTTTAGAGACCCTCTGCTATTTCAAATATAAATAGGAATAATCCAGCAGTTAAATTGCTTTTTTTTCCTGCTATGTTTATAGCTGAAGGATAATTACAGCTGTATTTCCTTGGAGACAGCAGTCTAATTATAGGAAGCAGCTTTCAACTGAAGAGTCTTTCTAACTCTGGAAAATTTGGGGCTGATGTGAACTGTTGGAGAGTCTCAAAAGACAATCCATTTGACCGCATGCAGCTGTTATGAGATTTTCACTTTCTAAAAAGAAAAGGCTTTACCCTATCTTTCTAGGTTTGCCAAAGATTGATTTATGTCCAGTTAGGGAGGAGGTTGATATTTCTTTTTCTTCATTCTCTTGGTGTTGATCTTTGAACGTTCTTTCTCCAGCCTTACTGGAAATTGTATCTACAGTGAAGGGGAACAAAAAAAAAACAACAACAAAAATCAATATTTAAACATGTAAAGGCAGCAAACATTAAACAATCTGCAAAAATAGGTTTTCAATGTTTCAGTATTAAATGAAATCACATGATAAAATATCATATGAAAACAGCTGGGAGGGCTCTTTAGTTTTGCTGTTTAATAAAGGAAAAATACAGTTCAAGTAGTTTGAAATGTTTCTTCCTCCCAGCTTTACTGTTGAACTATGTTTCTGAATTCACCACTGACACTACAGTTAATAATCAAAGGACTTGAAACATAATATTGCAGTGTAGCGCATTTTCTGTGTTGCATGAAATAATGTTTTCTTAATTAAAATGCATGCCCATTTGGGAGCAGATGGCAGAAAAAATGGCTCATTTTTTCAAATGTGTCTATCAAATATAAGTATATAGTAAAAAAAAGTCACACAATATGGAAATATATAAAAAAAAACAAAAACCATCAGAAACATTAGATACATCAGTCCAACAGTTTCTGAAGCATGCCGGTATTGGAAAGATCAGAAGATCAGCATTTTGCTAAGCAGTATATTTGCACCTGAGATTCTTGCAATAGCAGTAAACCAGACCTTCCCCTACAACCTGCCAGTAAGTACCACATTAGTACTGAAAGACATGAATGACACCTCTGAAAAGAGACTATACTTAAGTACCAATTTCTGTGATCAGAGTGAAATAGTTATGAGAAGAGCGAAGCATAAGGATTCAGGCTGAACTCCTATTTCTTAATCCAGTGGTACCAGCAAGGTAGTACAGCAGCTCACAAACAGCATATGCTTGCTCTGCTCAATCAGGACAGCAGAATGCTTTCTTTACGTAAGCACACGGGTGCAACTTATTGGAGGTACCTGAACCAAAGGTACCTCTCCAATCTCACCTGACTTTCCAAAATGGAAATCATGGATCGTGCATTTCACATATTACCATCACAAATAAGAGAGACAAAGATGAAAAATGGCTGATTATTGATCACGCTTACATCTTCTACAGTGAAGAATGAAATACAACACAGGTAAAACACCCTGGGAAAATGGTTTGAATGTAATAAGTGTATGCAGCGAATCCCTGTGTTGAGGTCCCTACCTGGGGACTTGCGCAGGATGGACTGTCTGACAACATCGGTTCCGAGATTTGATTGTTTGAAGCGCTTTGCTCTCTCTTCAAAGAACCATTCTCCTGTCACTATCCTTAGTTGTCTGTATGGGAAGAAGAAGACAAAAAGCCACTAAATGCAGTCTTTCCACATGTCAGGACTGTTACGAATTACCCATATGTGTGTTCAGAGTTCAGACAGAACTTGTGGCTTTGCTATTGTTTTGGATAATGCTGTCTTTTCTGGAGGTAACTGGAAAGATTTCAAATCCTTCTGCTTATACTCACAAAAACAAAGCCTGCATCACTGCTGTTTTCCTTTGGTAAGTTTTTAATGCGAATTGCCAGGTGTCTTTGAACAGGTTTCATTATATTAAAGCATCACCACTTTTGTTGCCCTACCACATACAGTTGATGGCAAAAAGCCACTAATCACAAATATTCCAAATGGATGAATAAATAAATATATAAAATCACTCAAAAAATGATTCGGTTCCAGACACATTCCTAATTACTTTATGTCCAGTAAGAAAACTTGCTAACCTATTCCAGAACAGAAATAATTTAGCCTTCCTGGCATGAAAATTCCAAATCCAAAACACGCACACAAATGAGGTAGCAGAAGATCACTGCCTTACCTCGTTGTTGCTTATTTCTAAAGTCAAAATCATGTATTTTGTATGCACAGTAAGTCACTATGCAAGGTGTTAAATAAAATCTCTGCATTTCCGCTCAGAAATGTTAAATTACTTTTTTTTTAAGATACGAATATTAGAGTCACTGTATTAGAACCTATATGGTATGAAAACCAGTTTTTTCCAAACATGTATTTTCACAATTCATTTACAGCATGCGCTTCCCTGTGCAGTTATTTTTATGTCATGGTTTACAGCGTTTAGTGCTTTGTATCACATTGTAAAACTGTCATACACTCAACTATACCAGTGCATTCTACTACAACATAAATGATATATTAGATGGTCTACGTGGTTCACTTATTTTTCCCTCAGCTACTCCTAGGTTTGACACAAAACTCCCCAAGTGTCATTTTCCCCTTGGATACAGGCTTCATTTATGGTCTGGGTAGAGGTAGGAGGTCCTCCCCTGACATCCACCTTCTGGAAACCATCTGTAGTCAGCTATTCTGAGAGTACTTGGAGCAAGTATAGAGGCCTCAACCTTTACATTGGACCTTTATCCTTAATATCAACATCACTTTTGTCTTGGCTTCCCAGCCTCTGGTAGCACTCTTTTGTGAAAGTGCCCATACCTAACAGATTCTATAAAAATATCACATTTTAATGAAATAAGTGGGAAAAATAAAAAGCTCTGTACTTTTTAGCACACTAATACAGGATGAGACATGTGCAAATGTATTTTTTATGTATGCTGAACAATTTGTAGGAAGGCTAATGTTCATATAATATTAATCATTCATGCACTGCAGGAACATCTACAAAAATAATTCTTGTTCTACATGAATGAAAATGATTTCAGATTATATGCCAAAGTTTCTGACTTGAGGTTTGAATTTCATAATTGCATTTGACATTCTGAAACAAAAATTGAAGAGCGAAATCGAACCATCTCACAGTGACATTATTTTCATGCACATATAATTATGACAAAGGCAGGTTGTCTTTCCTACTGAAATAGCACATCTTTCTTCCATTTTTTGATACCGAACCTAAATTAACCATTTCCATCTAGATAATTGTTCCAGTGGGAAGAGAATCAAGATCACATACACAGCATTACATCAAATCAGTTCTCCCAGGTTTGTTCTCAGTTGTTTTTGAAATGGATTCAGGTTCCATCACTGCTGCAATCATGGTACACATAGGTATTTTCTTTCCTTCATCAGTTAGCTACACATAGCTACATACAAACTTACAAAAATGTGTTTTACAAAAAAATGTTTAGCCTGGCCTTCCTGGATGTATGACAGATGTTAAAACCAGTACCTTTAGAAAGAAGGAAACTAGAGTTATAAATTTTAACGGTAGCAATTGTTGTTGACTGCATTTCCCTATTCTCAAAATACGTAGGAAAATTTTAAAGAAAATCATGTTCAAGTAGCTACATTTAGTACAAAACACTGTAGGTACTGCATAAACTCCTCAGTGTGTTTTAATTAGTGAGCCAGGTAATCACATACATGTGTGAGAGGGAGTACAACACCTGGTTTCATGCTTCTTCCTCTCTGATCTCCCAATAAACACAGCAGCTTCATTAACACATTGCTCAGCTTCCAAACAATACAACCTGTAGCCTGTCCCTAGCAACAACTCAGCTTGTTATTTTCCACTCTCATTTTTGGAAGACACTTCATTGTTAAATTCCATTTAAGATGGAAATTACCAATTTTTACTTTTTCTGTGAGGAAAAACAAAAAAAAAAAAAACAGAAAAACACCACTACCAAGTATCTCACTTCCTCTTTGGGAAGCAAAATTGGAAAAAAAACAGCAGGACCAAAAGCTGGATAAAGTGTAGCCTATAGATAAATAACCAAAACATACACACCCACCTTTGCATGCATTCAATTGCACAGAATACTTTCTACAGCATAAATTAATTTCAGAGTATTTTTTATATGCTGTGAGGCTACTGAATAGAAAATTGTGATTCTATTAAAAGAAGACAAACGTACATGGAAGTTGGTGTGGAGGGAAATCTGATGAACATTTTTATTCTAAAGCATTTGAAGTATCTATTCTTAAGATCCTAATGTGAGTAACTGTCACAATGATACTGAGTTTTCATGACACTTTGAGACAATATAATTATTGCACAGATGAAGATAGGTCTCCCAGCACTGCTTAATTCAATTGCAATAACCTGGGCCACCTAGGTATTTTATCTTGCTGAAGAATTCAAAAATAAAGTCCCCATTCATATACATCTAAACATAACCATGATGAAGAACACAGCATTAAGATGAAAAACTAGAAGACTGCTTGAAGAATGTGATTTTAAATTAAATGATAAATTTAATCACATTTTAAGATGATACAGGAAAAATGTGACCTAGATGGAAAGTGTCTCTTCTAGCACCTGTGTTTGATAGGTGCTGATGACTCAGCTGTTCCTCATATGCAAGGAACGGAGCCAGAAAACTTTCTCTTTCACCAAGTGCACTGCTACACAAAGGCTCATTTTATCTCATCAAACACTATAACATCTCATCTCATTAATAAAGACTATCTTATTCTCTACCCTCAGTGACAACAGACCACAGAATCTGGGAGAAGACTTGGCTCTAGCTCTTCTTGACCTTTGAATAATTAATCTTGCAACCTTATATCCTATCTGGTAATAACTCTGATAACAGAAAAAAACAAGTTACTTTCTCCTTAAGGACATACAAATGGAGTATCCTTCCTCTGTAACTAAAAACTGCAAGGTAGTTTATGTATAAATCTCAGTCTGTTATTCTTAAAAATTCTAACAAACATCTCTCACTTTTTACATCCAAATTTCTTTCCTCAAATTCACTAAAGCTGTCTCTGAAAGTGGTTTAGAATGTAATTAATGATTTGTAATGAGCTTCTTCATCACCACCTGACCTCAGTGAAATAGTATTAAAAGGTACTAAAGATTATTTGGAGGCACCGAAGAGATTAAGTCAGACTTGCTTACTGCCACATGAAGACACTCTGGTGGACAGAAAAACAATGAGATAGATTTTATTATTAAGCAAACAGTACCTCATCCTTTCAGCTACCATTATGTTACCATACAAGTGTTTAATTTGTTCAGAAAACAATACTGTGTTTTACCAAAGGAGTATCTTGAGATAAACCGATCTTCAAGTCAATCAACACAGTTGCAAATTGGCCCTTTTCTTTTTTCTCATTTTTATTAATTTTTGTATTTCTGTAGCTGCACACAAACTCACTCTAAATATTAATGCTATTCATTGATGCTATTTCCTCAAAGGCTGTAGGACAGAAGTCCCAAAGTCCTGTTCATGAGTGGATAGGCTGGACTCAAGAAACAAGGAAGGGTCAAAATGCATTAAAAGAAGCAATAGACCAAGGCTGGCTGATATTATCAACATTCTCTTTCGGTGCCCTAAGATGTCTTTCATTTCAGCAACTATTTTGTATTATTATTTGTGTGGTTCAGGTGATTTATCCAACACATTTTGCAGTACTTAAACATCTCTTTTGCTAAACACAGTAGATTCTCAGTATACAAATTTCTTCACTGACACCATGTGTATTGCAGCAGACTTTTCAAGAAAGACTTACTTTTGAATGTGTTCCCTCAAATAAGAAAGATTATTATTATATAGTATACCATGCAGTTTACTGCCACTACCATTACATTAAGCAGTAGTTAATAGACATTCTTGTGGACTATCCTGGCAGAGCAACCAATAATTAGTATCACAACAAAACCAAAGAGAGTTCATGAAGGCCAGGAATCCATCCCTGTCTTTTAAGAGACTTACAGAGTGTACAACATACAGCTGTTACAGTGGGTGCTAGTGTCTATACCAGTGTTGTCTTACACCTCTTTCATGAAGGTTGCTAAAAGAAAATAAGCGTAAAGAAAAAGGAAAAATTGCTAGGTTTTTCTAAGTCACTAGCATGGTAAAACAACTCAGTTTAACGGACTCAAACACTGTATGCAGATCAATGCCATGTAACTTAAAGTTTTTTCTCCTTCTATCTTGTGTTCTTATTCATGCAGCATAACTGTCTCTCTTGGCACTGGTTTCTCATTTTTCTTGTCCTTGCCTTCAGCCTTTCAATCTTGTCAAAGCCTCCCTTTCTATTAACTTCCTAAATGTAATTCAGAAAGCCTAATAATCCTAATTTTCCCTGCCTTTCTCATTTAAGTAAAACAGAGGAGAGCAAAAACGAAAGAATTTAAAAGTAGAATTATGCATAGAGATTGGATTTAACTGAAATACCCATCTGCATCACCTCTACATTATCCACGTAGAAGATAATGTGTTTTCTTAGCAGCATAGCAAACGCTTTACAGATCATTAACTGCCATTATAGTCTTACAAAAATAGCATATAAAAACAAAAAGGACTAAGATTTGAATTTAGTAAAAATACATAATGCTAGGGTTGTCAAGGCTTTAAACTTATACCATGCTTTGTAGTAACTTACATGCAAGCTTCAGCTGGAGTTGATATTCAAGATGATTGCTAGGGCCATTGCTTGGCATGCAGAATGCAACACAACCACATACATTTTGAGAGGTGGCCACATTCACCTTTCAGCCACAAAACAGAACCAACTACTGACGCCATCATTCCTGAGACAGGTTTGTGTAGCCTGTTTTTAAAACAAGATTCTGCGTCCTCTCCCGATTATATGAATAGCTTTTTCATACCACCTACCCCAAATCCTTTCATTGCAATTCAAGAATCACATTACTTTTCCTATCCAAAGTCAGTATGTAGAACAGCTTGTATACATCCACAATGCAGTTGCCTTTTGTAGATTCTAAATTCAGTTATTTCAACTTCTCTCTTGCCTAGGCCAAATGTTTCTGTCTCCCTCCATTACCTTGGACACACCATGTTCTAGGCTCATTATCACTATTTTCCGCTCAACCTGCCCCAGCTGACCAACTTATAGCATCCTACACAAAATGAGGCAGAGTACTCTATACAAAAAATGACAGTATCATGTATTTTGTAGGCCAAACTTCTGTTTGCACATCCTGAGGGATGCCGGACTTATCCGCAGCTGCATAAAACTGTTGATTCATGTGACTCATGTTCAGCTTTTCGTTCAGTGCATTATACCAATCCTTTCCTAAGGAACAACTGCTTAAGCTTTTTTTCCTCACTCTGTGTTTTATTTTCTTTTATTATCTATATACTCGGCATGAGATTAAGAAACAACGGTTCAAATAATGGTCCGACCAAGTTATTACAAATCTTAATCAGGGAAATTGGGAAGGGGAGGATGAACACTATTATGAATTAGGGTAATCAGAAAGGGAAGGAGGACGATAGAAAAGATAGAAAAGAAGAAGCAAGGAGTCTTTATAGGAAGCAAGAGGGACATAGTCACCACCATGGATCCAGTGAGGTTCGTAGTTCAGTGATTGGTAGTGGTGGGTCATCAGGTATTGTTCTGTTGATGATGACAATTGCAACAACTGGAAATGATGGCCCCTTTTCAATGGTTCCAAAGTGGTCGAGTCAGCTGTCTTTGGAGTGACAGCTCAAACCCAAGGTGGTTGAGTTAGTTCTTCTTGAAGTGGCAGCTTCTGGCTTTGGGATCTCAGCGGAAACTCCTTTGTTCCTATCTTCCTAGCCTTGCCAACAGATAAGAGGGAGCAGGGAGGCGTCAACTTGTATCTTGCCTTCACAGGATACAATGGCATCATCCCCCAGCCTCCCATAACAAACTGGAGTTATTCGATCACAGGCTAGATCTTCCGCCAGTAAACTGTCCTGAGCACTATCTTCCAAAGGCAAACAGCTGAAATTGTCTGCACAGTGATGTTGATTGCCACACAACAACACCCATCACTCATCTTCTAGACAAGTCAGTCTTATCGCAAGAAATACCTCAGGAAACAAGCTTTGAGCCAAAAAAAACAAAGGATTCTCACACCCAGGCCTGTCCTTCAACATATCTGCAACATCCCTCAGTTTCATGTCACCAGCAAGTAAAACTGGCAAACTCATCTGCTGCACCAAGTCCCAAACTAAAGCATTGAACAGTAAAAATCCAGTGAATACTCTGCTCTAAACCAGTGTTTTCTTTGACAATGAAATGCCAGCAACTACTCTGACAAGAGAGCTTTGTAGTTCTCCAGGCACATGTGCAATTACACTGAGTTTATTCCAGAGCACAGCCTCCCTTCTTTATAAACTCACAGGAACAGTACGATAGGAGCTATCAAAAGGTTCACTGAAGTCAAGTTACAAGACATCTATGCATCCTCTTCTATCCATGAGATCTGACACCCTTTCAAAGGAAGAAATTAAAGTTTATGACATTATTTGTTCTTGGGCCAGCTCTTACTCATCATCATCGACGGCTCTTCTTAGTTCTGAAACGGTACTGTGACCATTTGTTTCAGTATTTGTAGAGAAAATAAAGGTAATCTGACAGGGCCAACAAATTCCGTGTTCTTCCTTCATTTATTTTTATAAAGCAGACCTAGTGTTTGCTATTCTCCTCTCTGTCATCTCACCTAGACTTCATAATGACGAAATCTGAAAGGCACAGAATTCAGATCACTTCAGAAATTGGCTGTAGACTACAAGGAGATCAGCCATGCCTCTAACAGTTTAACATTTCATAAAATCAAGTGCCTGAACGTGACTCATCTTAGAAGAGGTGAAATGATGTCCTGTAGATGCATCTGCACCAATGCAGAGGTTACAGCATTTGGCTAAAAAATTTAGACATTAGCTCTTTAAAGCAGAAGTCAGGAGACACAAACCTTAAACTCTCTGCCCTGCTCCATTAGTTTTTCATTAACTGTCTAGGTAGCCAAAGTCTGACATAACTACCATTTTGGGTTCTCTTTTTGATACAATTTAGAAAAAAAATCTCTATTTCCTGATCTGTAAAAACCAAACGGAAACAAAAAAACACCAACCAACAAACCTACAACAACAACAGAAGAACAAGCCCAACTCCCCTCTATGAAATAATGAGAGAAATTCCCTCTAAGAAATTACCAATTTTTACCCTTGTATCATGTCTTTTCCTTAGATATGTAATTTCCTTACTGATGTGCGAGCTGAGGTGTAAAAACATTAAGGTATTTAACCAAGTTCTATTGCACCATGTAACTTCCCTTCAAGGTTATCTTACTAAGACTAGCTACAAAATTCCATATTTCTAAACTAATCCAGGGAAATGCTCCTCCAAGTATATATTAAATAAGTTATTTTGAACATACAACACTGGAAAACAGTGCAGCAAATAAAAACACCAGAAAAGCTTCCATTGTATAACTGCTATGCACATGCTCTTGTGCTAAGAAAAGATAAAACAGTGACACCAGCATACCTCCAGAGAGGTAATCTCTACATGTATTTACGAAAGCTGCGTGACTTACGCAATCTTGGCACACACGGAGCACTTCCACTGCCCATCAGTTCCCACTGCACGACACTTATTGCAGACTCGAAGTTTGCAGGTCTGGCACAGGTCTCCTCTGTCAAAGATAAAGCCCAGGCCTTTCTGACAGCGAACGCAGACCCTGCTGTTGTCCTGTTGGCAGTGTTGGCTTCCACCTTTCCTTTTCACTTCCAGAAGTTCATTTTTCAACTTCCTAGAAAGAAGAAAATAAAAGCCTTTAATTTACGACTGATTTCTGAGTGTTATTTGGATAAAATTTTTGGAGATCAATCAGTATGCCCGTACATACAAATAAGGTCATGAAAAATGTGCTCCATATATTAATTGTACTTTTGACACATATATGACAAAGAAGAATAAATCTGTCTTCCAACTTCTCAGATGAGCAATCAAGAAGAAAGTATGCAGTCTTGTGGTAGATCAGTATACATGACTGCAGGCAGCTGAACATTTCTGGACTGCTGTCAAACTATCTTTGCTTGTATGTTATCAATAGTTCAAGTCATGCTGAGACCAGGTTGAACGCAGCTCAAAACTCAGGTTAGGAAAAGAAAATCTTTCCAGTAACTAGTGAGCATTTGAGACTGTGACATGGTAGAGTTTGCCACAAATACAAATGCAGTTCTGCAATGGCTACTCAAAAATTCTTAGATCTTTAGAAACAAAACCAACTAACCATAGAGCTGCCTGTTCTGTGCCCCTTGTTCCTCAGGAATGAAGATCTTCCATCTATGAAAGGATTTCTGATGGTGGTTTATTCTGATACGCTTATACTGTGCATGCAGTTGATTTCATCAAAGATTAGTAAGAAACTAACAGACAGTTTGAGGTTTTGGATGGCTAACCAAATGATATTATAGCATAACACCATCTTTTTTTTTTTTTTTTTTTCCTGTTCCTCCTTAAAGGAGAATACTGGTTTAAATAACATAACTTTCACATTACCAGCTCCACCATTGACTCTGCAGGATAAAAATATTTGCATTTAAAGACCTAATTTAAAAACAGCAATTTCGTGGGTGCATGAGTTAAGTCCTTAAGAGAAAAGAACCATATGAAAAGTGCAACTACTACTACAACAGCCAAAAAAGGAACTTATCTGATAGTAACAAACACATTTGTATCTTAAGACAATAAAAAACGAACAGTTAGGAGGGAGCAGGTGACTCATCTGAAAAAAAAAATACACCATTGTAACAACCTCTAAACAACCATAGCCTAGTAGTACCAGTTACACAGTATCGAAAATGGACAACAAGTGCACCATGCACCTAAACTGATTTATCAACATCTTTCATCCCCCAGTACAGGAACCAGCTGTATTGCAAACATCAAATTTTGCTACTCTAACATTTGAGTTCTCATTAATTTTAAGGCAATCTAATGAATCACGCAGTTAGACAATTTTAATCACAAATATTAAATAAGAATTTGTCTTCATCGATCTCCTATTAATATTAAAGAGAAGATAAAGTCCAGAAGTCAAATTAATAAGCTGCTGGAGAAAGAATCCTGTAATACACCGAGATTTCTAAGTCATTTATTATGATAGCATTTGACAGAAGATATTATTAAGAAGAAAACTGTTACGGGCAAAGATAATGGAATATTTTGTCACTCCTCTAACTGTGAATTCATATTAAGATCTCTCTTCTGTTTGACAAAATACTGTACATGCATTGGAGAGGAGCTTTGTTGTAACTAGTGCTTCAGCTAGGGCCTTTAATATCACATTAAGCACAACAAGAAAGACCAAAGCAAATCTAAGAAATTACCCTATATTAGGTCCATCATACATGTAAATATGAAAGTCTAGCACTCTGTAAAGATGAGGTAAAACACGAAGGCAGCAAGAAATACAATTCTACAAGAGTAAAGCCAAGAAACAGTCAGTAGTCATAGCAGTAGGCACCATGCAGCACCTGCAAGAGGCACAAAACATCCATGAAGGAGTCTCACCCTCCCCTACTGATAGCCTTGTGGCTTCAAGAATCACAGGCACTCATCTCATTCCTACAGAAATGAAGCCACCAGAGAAGGAATATTTGCTAATCCTAATAGACTTGCAAAGAAACAAAGAAGACATCAGAAGCCTTAAGAGAGCCATATCTTTCCTTAGCATGCTTTACCTTAAAGAACATGCATACCCCAAGTTTATAAAAATTGAACAGTTTTACTGCTTCAAGTTTAGTGCTACAAGGCAAGGAAAGCACACATCTTAACAGATACAAAGCACAGAATTCAAGTATCCTTAATTTTATTCTGCTGCTGTAAATCTTCCAGAGTTCAAACAGCTGTAAAAAAAATTCACTAGAAAACAAAAAAGTCTTCACTCATGTCTGACATGATACCTAGAAAGTAACAGTAACTGCTACTGTCAATCCACAAAAGGATGAGTTATCACCAACTTATATTGACATTTCCTCTCATTGTAAAAATCTAGCTACTTAAGCCCCTATTTTATAAGCATTTCACCTTTTGCTTATGGAACAGATTTTTTATGATAAAATATCTCAGGAATATTTAACTATGGAGATATTTAACTATGGAGATACATTGGTGGCAATGAAAGGAAATAGAAAGACAGAGAGGGAATTTGCAAAGGAGAAGAGAATTGGAGTGATGAATAGCAGAATGGGGGACAGAACAGAGGAAAGGAGATGTGGAAACTGAGATCATATTGGGGACTAACATTCACACACTTCCACAAATCAATATTTTTCTGAGCAAGTTCTTTATCCTCTCATCTAACGACTATTACCAGGATTTAAAGAAACAAAACCATCCAAAACCTCAAATTATCTGTTGGTTTCCTACTCACCTTTGATGAAATCAATGTTTGCACAGTATAAGTGTATAAGAATAAAGTACCATCAGAAATCCTTTCATAAATGGAAGATCTTCATTCCTGAGGAACAACGGGGCACAGAACAGGCAGCTTTATCCTTAGAATATCCTCCTTAGCAGTAGGAGCTACTTCATCTTAAACAGTCTTCAGTTCAAAGAGTAACAACATATGACATGGAACTACCCAGTTTCCAAATGACACAGCCTCCACACAACCAACTTCCTTTCCTCCCATCTACAGAGGGATCAACAGTGTCCTTTAACACAAAACCTCCTTCCTTAAAATATTATTTATAGCCAGCGTTGCAAAAAACATACACCATATGCTACTATATACTAATTTGCAGTCATTTTGTGCCTATAAGTCCAAATATATAATCACCAGGTAAACCACATCTATTGTCACTCAAATTTAAACATTTGATCTACTGTTTGTCTTTAGTTACACGGTGTATCCATGCTAACAGATTCTCTTATACCATAATGGAGATAATACCTTAAATTGCTTCTGTGGATCTGTTCTGACTGCTCAAGAGATACCATTGTAATAAATGGAAGAGAGAGGAATGCTAACCTCCCCTGACAAGAATCCATGCAATGCGTGTACTACTTTTGGCAACCTAAACACCGTGGGAACAATGAAGGTAATTACCCAACCAAGCCTTATTCTTGTAAGAAATTGGCATTTTCTTTAATTGTTTTCTCAGTTCAGCAATTATTACACCGGTTTCCTCTCTTCTAAAAGCCTGGCAACTACAACTCACAGCTTTTTTTTTGTAAACAAAGCTGTCTAGGAATACACTCAAGGTAAAAAAGCAGTGTAAATTAGCAAGTAAGCGTGTCATGTGTGTTTGCTCTGTGAAAGCATATTAATACCAAGGTGGAGAGTTAGCTCCAAATGCAAAGTGCTGTGACCATCAGACCCAGGGGCCTGTGTAACATCAGACCTGGAAGGAGGCAGCAGATCTGCTGCTGGAATAGAGACAAACCAACAAACAGATAAACTACAGCTTGTGCACAGATTCTTCTGATTTAGTTTTGATTTCATGAATTGTAATATCACACATCTACTGCACGAGGGCTGCTTGAAAGTAATGCCTCCTGTTTTATTATGTTGGCCCACGACATCAGAAGCACGCGTTGGTATAGCAGTAGAGGCTGAACCGTCCACCAACATTCCATTCCTTTTTGTTGCCGTGTGACAGATGGCAGCAGAGGAGCACTCTGACACAATGGTGTCTGACATGGAAATGCAGATGAAGAAAAAGGCTGCAATTGAATTCCTCTATGCAAAAAGAAATGCCCTCACTGATGTTCATCAACACTTGTTGACTGTTGATGATGACCAAGCAGTGGATGTGAGCACAGTGAGGTGGTGGGTGGTGTGTTTCAGCAGTGGCAATAGTGCAATCTTCACTAGTGCAGCATACGTACTCATGTTCATTGTTGGTGAAAACACATAGCTCCTGGTGGAGATTATGTTGAAAAACAGCGTTTTGTAGCTGAGAATGTGCTCTATTAAGCAGTGTTATTGTGCTTTTCATACTTGTAGTTTCCATGGAAAGAAACAGGAGGCATTGCTTTCACAGCAACCTATGTAATAAGGGTTTGCCTAGAACAGTTTTAGAAGAACAAAACTTCAAAAATAGTAGAAGAGTTGAAAAGAAATACATATCCCAGTTAAGAACAGTCAATTCAGATTGTATTGACTGACACATTCTGGATACAAATTTTTCCTAGCAATTCAAATGTATAATATAAAAACAAAAAAAAAAAAAAAAAGAAAAACCTAACAAACATTTGCTCCCTCAGTATGATTAATTTCGCTATTTTTATGTAGCTATTTTAGATCTATGTCACTGAATTATTTTACACAAACAATCTTACCATTTGAAAACAATGATGATTATTTGACTGATACTAAAAGCATTATACAACGTTTAAGAAACAAAATGCTATTTTCACAATTAATCTGCAAGTTTAAATTTATATTCAAACAAAATTTTCAGTTACACAAAACACACAGATGTAAAGACATAACTAGAAATTAGCATTCATTAAAATGTGTTGGTTTTTTATACTATTGAAGCTAGAATGCAGAAAGAGCCCTTCCTGCCTTCTGTGTATTTCTCACATGTAAGTGAAATATTTACACATGATACAAAAATACAAGAACAACAACCTGCATTTCAGAACGCAAGTATGAGTAGTGAGTGTGAATCTGACTCTTAACAATTTCATCCTTCTATGCCTACTGTTGCTTCCTCATTGAATCCAAAGACCCTCTCAAGTTATTATGGCTTCTGAAGACATAGAAACAGAAAGAAAACAAAGAAATAAACAAAACCCACCATTATTACCAACAGAGATTCAGGGTGGAGCAGACATATAAACACTCTTCTGTATAGTGTTCAAGCAAGTATCTTGCCAGAATTAAAAATGCATTGAAAAAAGGATTTGTTCCTTTGAAGGTACTCCTATAAAATATGTAACAGATTGCACCAAATGGAATTCCAAAGACAGCACATGTTCCTCTGAAGTACACTTACGAGCCATAATTAAAGATAACCCTGCCAAGTTGTATTCAAAAAGAAAAAACGATGACATTTCCCAGGAAGCAGTTACCAGCTTTGTATAGCTGTATATCTTGAAAGTCTTTTATGGACCATATTCCATCATTGTCAGACATAGTATGGTCTAATGACAATACTTCAGAAATGCCTTGAGTTTCAAGCCAACTGGTTAATACAGGTGCCAGAATTACATGTAGCATCACAACTTGAGTTAGCCTAACTAACACAGTATTTCAGATTAACCATGTTTCTAAGGTGCTCTTTCCATTTGTACCAAAGCACTGATGAGTCTAATACTACCTCTCCCTTTATCAAACCACATCCTAGGGAGCAGCTCTGGATTCTCAGTAGATTTGACAAAGTGACTTTCAGTATCACAAAAAACAAAAACTAAAACAGGTAAGTAGGATTTTTTAAGACACCACTAAAACAAAGAAACAGCAACAACAAAAAACAGCATGAGTTTTAACTTACAAATTACTGCCATGTCCTACATGAGACTGGGACACAACAGCAGAAGCAAAAAGTTATTTAGGGTTTTCGGGAAGCTAGTGATCTGGTTACTCTCCTGCACTTAATACCGAAGCCTTTGACAGATGACTATTGCACAGCTCACGTTTTAAGGCCACCACCTTCAAAAACTGAAGTACACTGAAATGCTTATTCTGTTACAAAATAGAACACAATGCCTGGAACAGACAGTGCTCCATCTGTTTTCTTGTGTTCTGTTTTCTGCTTCATCTGATGAATGATGAAGAAGGTTAAACAATTAATTCACCCACTCCACCACAAAGATTTACTCTGTTCTTTCCAGTCTTGTACTAGGAGAGAGATGCCAGCTTTAGCCCGCTCCATTTAGACGAGTAGCTATGTTCACTCTTCTAAAAGGGTTGCAAACCAAAAGGAGCATTGCATTTGGACTTGGCTATCTCAAGAGACAAAGCTTTCCAAAACCAGTGGGTAACTCTGCATGGATTCTCAAAATAATTTCATACAAAAGAAGCCTCAGGAAGTGCTGAATGTACATCTAAAATGCATTTCGGCAAATCAAAGAGAAAAACAATGCAGCCTGGCCTAGGAGGACACGTACAGAAACCAGCAAATGCTGGAAATATTCCCTTTGTAATCCATTGCACTTAGCAGCCTCATCAACACTGAGTGCTGCGTGTTGTCCACGCTAAGCCTGTTTCTCATAACCAACATTAAATAGAAAGACAGCAGAGAAGCAATTGGAAGCAGCAGCAACATGAAAAAGCGTTTAAACCCTTAAGAGCTGATACTTTGCTGAAGTAACTGAAGTCACCCTTTGAACTATCTGGAACTCAAACTGCCTCCACACATTTTTCTCTCAACTTTTATTTCACCTTTTTTCCTCTGAAAAGAATACACAAACTCTATTCAACACTCTGAGTCTTTACTTCTCTCATTAGCGCGTTCTGAGCCACACCTTCAGTTTGATTCTTTTTCTATTAGTAGATCTAATAACTGAAGTAAATCCTAGGATTTTAAACGTAGTATGAAAATCAGCCAAGACAATGTGGCTGTACTTACAGAGCGAGCCATCAGATTTCATTATACCGTATTTCCACTACATGTTAAAGCTTTCTACGTTATGAAGATCAAATGGCAGCTTTCCAGGCAGACTGCAGTTCTAAATGATATCAGTTTGAAATATGAATAAGCAATACATTGTAGATAAGTCTTATATGAAATGATCATTAGAACAAATTTACTGCAGTACTTCTCTGCACCAACAAATGGCCTCAGACTGAAGTTCAAGATTCACTTTCTTATTCTTTTGCTTTGAAGCAATGGATGCATTAAAATCTTCTATTCTTAAAGGGCCACACTAGCAAAAAAGATTTTTTTTAAAACACATTTTGATCTGTAACTAACTGTGCCATCTCACAACATCGATCCTTCTTCCAGAGCATTTAGGAAATCTTCTCTGAGGAACATATCAATACCCACATTGCAGAATTATATATATATATCTTTACAATAATAGAAGTCTTACCTTATTCTTTTATCTTCAACTTTTTTCAGGTACTCATCTCTCTTCAATACTCCCAGTATCATTTCCTTTTCATGTTCCAACAAAAACGACAGATTGATGATTTCCAGGTGCTTCGCCATGATTCCTCAGTGACACTTACAGTGAGTGCTTTGTCTGATCAATTTTTCCAGTGAATTATCTGCACAGGTCCAAAGGCACTTCTGTGTCTGAATTACAAGATTCACAGTCAAGAGGTATTTCAAAAAATGCTCCTTTAAGTTAACCAGGTATCAAGGTTGTATTGCTCTGCCTTCCAACTACATGAGACATAAAGGTTTCCTCTTTATTTCTTCCTCAAAAAAGCCATTCATTTTTCTGGCTGCTGAATGCCCCTGTGTCCTGGCAGATGCTCTCTGACATGCTGTAGGCCTTCAGATCACATTCATAAGCAGCTGCAGATTCAGAATCATTCCTGGAATAACTGTAGTTCAGTGCCACTGAATAGATGGGTGTATTTACTTCAAACTATCTGGAAGTCAAAAGAAACAAATGGAAGTGATTTTGACATTACTGTTGTGGTCTGATTTAAGAAAGACTTAATCAAGTACTGGTTTGAAAGCCACCAAATCATAAATGCCTACTTAGTTGTACACTATCAAGTTATCTCAGGGAATAAGCATAACTCATGTTTTCTATGTTGTTGTTTATTTACTCTAATGGATGATAATTATATTCCCACAAGGGCTCTCTCTAGTGCATTACAATTTCCAATTCTCTTCCTACTTCAATAAGCTTAGATGACTGCATTCACTTTGTTATACTTCCATAATAATAATGGCCAGGTGTGGGACGATCAATCTATTTGTCTGCAATTAAATAATTGAAAACGGAAAGTAGAAAATTAGTTAAAATTTAAAAAGTGGAAAGACTTCAAAGGACAGGACTAATGGTAAGTCTCACCCAACAACAAGTACTCTATCTGAACTTCAGCAAGTCATCCATTACACTTAATCACAGCTACTTCAGAGAAACATGAGCTTTTTAGAAGTGATATACTAACTTACTACAGATTTAATTTAGGATGATACATCTTAGAAGAGCCCACTAAATACAGTGAGAAAGATGAGTGACTAGCTAATGTGAATCCACTTGGAAATAAGACAAATTTCACTCTGTTTTGTTTTGTTTATTCTAAGCAAAAAGCAACTTAAATAAACAAGCCAACCATGCCAAAAACAGAAGAGGCACCTTGGTCCATACTTGACCCTGTTAGGAGAAAATCATCAGGAAGCTACTTGAAAAATTCTACTTTGCTTCTTTGCATTTATTTTTGAACAGGAAGACAAACAACAGCAGAAGCTGCTGGAGCACTACACTTACTCTTAGGCTCTTGAAAATTGAGTTTCTATTCATTAAGACCAAGTTATTTGCAAGCAAAGTAAGACAGTCAACGTGTGAATCATACCTTGCTACTGTTACTGCTAAATTCTTCCCTGAACTGCCCAGCAAAGCAGTACTTCCATCCCAGCCAGGTTCTAACAGCATGATGTGCTTGGGAGCACAGTCCTCTGGCATAACATGGAGAGCTAAATCCAGCAACCAGAGAACAAACAAGATGCTTGATGGGTCAGGGTGCTCTGAATTTCTGTTTGCAAATTTACCATACAAGGGACAAGGTAGGTGGGCAACAGACTTACTCTAAGAATTATGCTGAGATTACTCTGAGAATCTAACAGCTGACAGCTCTGCCTGTGGCAAGGGGCTTGGATATTCATGGTTCTTGGGGTCCCTTCCAACCCAAGCCATTCTATGGTTCTATGTTTTTCTCTGTCAAAAAACAAAAAAAAAAAAAAAAAGAAGAAAAAAAGAAAAAAAAAAAGTTTTATTGAAAAAAGAGAAAACCAAAAGGGTAAAGAAAGTGCAACACAAACTGAAAATGAGAACAACAAAAGTGTTAAAATTGTCTCTGATAGCACCATTTCTATCTTGATAATACACTGCAAATAACTGGGGTTCTTACAGAAAAACAATGCAGTGGCACAACAAGCAGGTTGACAAAGAGCACTGTTCTATGTAAGATATTTTCTGGTACTGGGGAAGCAGGGAAGAGAAAAACACTCAAAAGATTTTTTAAACAGACCTTTATGACTGCCCCTTAACCTTAACTTGATGTATGGACACATTCTGAGCTTTTTTCATTTAATTCTAAAGAAGCTAGCATTGTTGGCAGAATACCTGAAAGCCTGAAAAATTTCCTTTGGCTAAGCATAACACCCATCCGTGGATATTCTGGGGGATTTTGTCATCAACACTGGGCATTTTTTCCCAAATATGTAGTCCAGAATTAATAAGGTGACATATGATAGCTGTGTGTGGGGCTTACTGGGAAGGCTCTGGTAGTGGCAGGTGCACGAGTGGCCTCTGCAAGAAGAGATAAGGATAATACTTAAGAGAAATAACAGGAAAAACATGTAGAGGACACTACTGGATCTCCACGTGCAGCCATGTAGGAGCTGATGGGGCAGCAGTGGATGAAGCCTGAAGGAGGCACAGCCCATGGAGAGCCCCTGCAGGAGCAGCCTAGGGCTGGAGCTGCCGCTGGTAGGCACCCATGTGGAGCAGTGTTCAAAGGGTGGGTCCAGTGGTACAGAGCCATGCTGCAGCAGTGCTGGGAGAGCTGCACATGTGGCAAATCCACGTGGAATCCCATGGAAACCCACTTTACATACAGCAGGAAAAGAGAGCGACCAGGGAGGAGCAGCACAGACAAAGCATTATGGACTGACTGCAGCCCCCATTCTGTTACTCTATGCCACTTGGGGAATTATATTAATTTCCCTATGCAGAGTCTATTTTGCCTGTGAAAGTAATTGACAAGTGTTCTCCATGCCCTTTTCTCAACCCTTCAGCCCTTTTTCATCATATTTTCTGCAGTTGATTTGAATAGGGGGAGTGAGAAAGTAGCATGGTGAAGATCAGCTGCCATCAGTCTGAAACAGTCACAAACAGCGTTGTTCAGGGCTACAACAACATACCAGATGCTGAAATAACCCTGGCTTTCTACCTGTCAGCTATCCAGTGTAGCCATACATACCAGCTGATTGACACGAAGGCACAGAACCCACTTCACCTTCCAGATTTTCTTCTGCACTATGAAACTGCTACTCAACACAGGATGAAAAAATAATTGGATTATCCTATTAACTGTCTAACTACTGAAGCTTCCACAAACATCTCAAGAGAAACTCATGTTTGTTCAGACCAGATTGTTTCTGAAGTCATTACACCCATAACCTCTGCTTAATCAAGAGGGAAAGCTTAGCTTATGCAATGTTACTACGTCAAGGACATCTTTTAGGTCTGAAGATTAGTTTAGGTATCTGGTATGTTTACCCTATGTGAAACAGAACTAGAGAAAATTTCTCCTTGTCAGTGTGTTCTACTTCAGTCCTGCCTGATGATACCAATTCTGTGCTGAAACTAAGTGAGAACACTGCCTTCCCTCCGTCATGGACTGATGCACACAAAACATCACCCACTTCATAGCAGCAGACTATGTTTGAGCTCACATGCCTTTTGTGGTAGGCATTTCTATTATACATGTATTTGTAAAACAAAAAGAATAGCAACAACAAAACAGCAGGAACATTTCCTCTATTCAAAACTGGCTAATAGGAATGAGATGCTGTTTCAAATGAAGTAGCACTTAATAATTCCCTGCTTTAGACAACGTGTGATTAGGCCCATTTTTAAGATGTAACAGATAAAAAGGCACAAGCTGACAGACGCTGAATATTTGAATCATTTTAGGGCTTAAAAACAGGACAAACCAGCTAGCTGTTAGAAAGTAACAATGTCTATGTAAGCACATGCTCCTTTCAACAGACATTTGATGTTTTAGTAAGTAGCCTTGGGGACGTTTAGGAAGTGACAACGTTTTCACCCTAAAACAAATGAAGATTTTGCACAACAGTGTATTTTGTGAATACTAAGTCACATAGTAGGAAGCATGGAAGAATCCAAAGCCCCCTAGAAGGATGCAGGTAGTTTTAAATCTCTATTTAGCTTGGACTAGAGCATTAATTTCCTTATTCAGGGTAAGGCAACCCACCATTGGATTTGCAGAAAAACTAGTGGGGGGGAAGGGGGGGAAGGAATGAAGTGATACAATATAAAGAAACCATGTATAAGTGAGCATTTTGAGCATGTTTTTTTGTTTTTCCCTTTCCTCATGGAAGGGGTTAAAGAACTGCTCATTGGAACTGTTTACAGAATCACAGAATTGCAAGAGTTGAAAGGGACTTCAAGAGGTCATTGAGTCCAACCCCTCTGATAAAGCAGTACCTTACAATAGGTTGTATAGGTAGGCATCCAGCTGGGTCTTGAATCTCCACAGCCTCTCTCGGCAACCTGTTCCAGCACTACATCACCCTAATCATACAGAAGTTCTTCCGCATGCTAGTACAGAACTTCCTATGTTTAAGTTTTAGGCCATTACTCCTTGTCCTACACCACTGAGAAGAGCCTGGCCTCATGCACTCTCCTCCCACCTCCCTTTAGATATTTATTAACGTTTATCAGATCCCCTCTCAGTCTTTTTTTCCCCAAGCTGAACAGACCCAGGTTACTCAGCCTTTCCTCTTACAGGAGGTGCTCCAGGCCCCTTATCATCTTCGTGGCCCTCCACTGGACTCCTTCTAGGAGATTCCTGTCTTTTTTTTTTTTAAACTGAGGAGTTCAGAACTGGTAGTAGTCTAAATGTGGCCTCACTAGGGCATGGTAGAGAGGGAGGATAACCTCCCTTGACCTCCTGGCCACGCTCTTTTTAAAGCACTCCAGGATACCACTGGCCTTCTTGGCCACAAGAGCACACTTCTGGCTCACAGCCGATCAGTTGTCCATCAGGACACCCAGGTCCTTCTCCGCAGAGCTCCCGTCTAGCAGGTGACCCACTAACTGCTAAATGCAGTTATTCCTCCCCAGGTGCAAGACTCTAGACTCGCTCTTGTTAAACGTCATGATTCCTCCTTGCCCAAATCTTCAGTTTGTCCAGGTCACACTGAATGGCAGCACAGACTTCTAGCACGTCAGCCACTCCTCCCAGATCTGTATCTGAGTCACCGACCCTGGGGGTGTTCAAGGAAAGGCTGGATGTTGTGTTGAGGGACATGGTTTAGTGGGAGCTATTGGGAATAGGTGAACGGTTGGACTGGATGATCTTTTAGGTCTTTTCCAACCTTGGTGATTCTATGATTCTATTATTCTATGATCCTCAGCAAACTTGCTGAGGGTAGAGTCTATCCCTTCGTCCATGTTACTGATGAAGATGTTGAACAAAATCAGACCCAGCACCTACCTCTGGGGAACACCACTAGTTACAGGCCTCTAACCAGACTCTGCACCACTGATTACCACTCTCTGAGCTTTGCCAGTCAGCCAGTTGTCAATCCACCTCACCATCCACTCATCTATCCTCACACTTTCTAAGTTTCATAACAAGGATGTTGCGGGACATGGTGCCAAACGCCT